AAATTGACAGAGAAATAACAGAGTTGGCCATTCTAAGGTAAAAACCCAGCGCATACAGCGTTCATGTGTTTTTTTTTTGTTTTTTTGTTTTGTTTTTTTTTTCATCCAGACGGCTTCCCACGACCCCCCTGCAATGGCACGGCGCCCCCTCTAGGGGGCGTGCCCCACAGTTTGGGAACCCCTGGATTATACAATCAAACGCTCCTTAGTACATTTTGTTTTAAATTAAATGATCAAATCAGTTGTCTTTCATCTATTCGGGATCTTCTGTGGCAGTGAGCTTTTATTTTTAGCTGATTTTTTTGTTACTATGGAAATGGTCCCTAGTAAACAATTGTGCCTTTATGTCTTATAAATGGCTATGCAAGTGTTTTCTGTACCATATCTGTTGGTATATTCTGTAAGACTTGGAAAATATATTGTCAAAATGTCTGTAGCTAACAGAAGAGTTGGCTAATGGACAGGAAACCTCCAAATGATGGATTTCATTCGGCTACAAAGCTAAAGTCTAGCCCCAGTCATTAACCTTGTATCTTTGTTCTTTTAAACTTTTCAGCTTTTCTTTGCTTTTGGAGAATTGCGCCCCGTGTCCTCCTCCAGGGGTCCTAACAACCCCACTTCTCAGCGGGCTTCCTGGGAGCGCGCCACTGACAGGAAGGCAAGCTGCTTCTTTGCAGTTGGCCCAGCTGAAGGCTCAGCTAGCATTAACGCAGATGAACAATGTTCTCACTGTTGGTGGCTATGCTCCAACCTTGACATCAAACACCCACATACCTGCTCCGGGATTGCCCACAAAACCACCTTCGCCGACTGCAGTGGCCATCAATCTCCTGAACCTTCTGAAGATTGCCAACACTATGTCTCATCCCATGTATAATCCCTTTGCCCCTAGCAAACAGATGCCATCCCATGGACCTTATGGACTCTCTGGTGGGCAAATGGAGATGGACCCTCGGAGGCCACCGCCTCACTTTAGCTCTGGTTCCAACTTCAGCTCTTCTGGATCTTCTGGTCTTGCCTGTGGACCCTCTGGAGGACCTATACCGTCCATTATGTCTTTACCAGGAAGCTACAGACCCGAGAGAAATAAGATTACTGTAGATGAAGACATAGACAGATGTTTGGACTTGAATATCAGTAGAGCCAGGGAGGAGGTGATACAAACTTCCTCAAGTCAAAATACCCAATTTACTAATGTTCAAAGAGACATATTTCCTTCTTCAAACAAAGGAATGCCTTCATATTTGACATCTCCTGCTACTCTAGTAAACAGATCCTTTACTGTGGATAATAGTAACGACAGTTTGGACTGGTTGCCTATATGCCAGAGGGGTTCAGAGGAAGAGTCAACAAAAAAATATTCATCTGCGTCCTCCACCTTCCAAGGCAGTGGTGAAAGTCTTTTCAGTACCTCCAGTGAAGGAAAACATATGTCATCCATTCCAGGTTTGGGTGGCTATGACATAAAAAGACCAGCTAAGTTTGTGCCTCCTCCGGAGCCCATTCGCCCCAAGTATACTTCGGAATCAGCATCGAACATCCTCCTGCAGTTTGGTCTTGAAAAAGAAGACTTGGAACACCTAATCTCTTACCCTGAAGACCAGATAACACCTGAGAACCTGCCTTTCATCCTAAGGGAAATCAAACTGGAGAAGGAAAAGAAAACTGCAACTGCTGTTCAATCCAACCCCTACAGTGCAACTCAACCCATCAGAAGTATGGGTGAAAAGGACAAGTTTATTCCTTCCATGGGGGAAAGGTTCAATTCAGATCAAATATCATCCACTGTTCTTAAACCAAGTAAAGTGATCGATTATGGACATACAGGCAAATACACCACAGAGGTTGGGAATGAAGTTGGAAGAACTGTTGGCAGTTCAGCTGTAGCTGGTGTGAGTGGAAGTTTGTTGTATACGGACAGTTTCAAACCTAGCAGTCATGTCAGAGATCCACTTCAAAGAGGCCCTGGAGAGCTAAAAACTGGACCAGCTGTCACTTCACATGGCCAGATGAGTTCTGTCTCCACTGTTGACTCACTGAGGAGCCCTGTGGCACCATCAAGCAGCGATCCATCTAAAAAATTGGGAGTCCAAGCAAGCCAGACTTCAACGCCGCTTTTCCCATCTTTTGGATTGCTGAACAAGGACACAGATTTAAGTCGACTCAAACCCGAAGGCCCCAAAATTCCTCCCCCGAAGCAGCCAGAGCCAGCTCACCAGGCATCCACTCAACCCCAGCCATTCAATCCACCCTGTAATTTAAGTCGTGGAGTTCATCCTGGGCGTCCTGGCCTTGTGCTTATTCACAGTAACGACTCTCACAACAACAATAAGAGCAAAACTCAAGGACAAGGATTAAAAGCTTCTGAACAGGCGAACAAGATACCAGCACAACAGCAGCCAATTCAGCAGACTCTACAGCATCAAGGACCGCCACCACAGAAGCCACAATTTCAAATGCATCCGCAGCCGGTTCTGCAGTTGAAACAAGTACAACAAGGTCTTCCTGCTTCCATGCCACCCCGGTTGGCTCTCTTTCCAGGTCGACCTGCTCTACCTACACCAGCCCAAGTTCCAATCCGTCCTCTTCTGCCTATGTCAGCCCCAGTGCTACTACGTCCTTCTCTACCTACACCAGCCCAAGGCCGGATGGATGCCATGCCTCGTATGCCGCCTCCAGTTTTCAAAGACCAGACATCAGCACCAAGGATGGGTCCGTCCAAACTACCAACACCGGCCATGATCAAGGACTACGCCGCGGCAACACCAAGAATATTTCCTCATACCTGTTGTCTTTGTATGAAAGAATGTACCAATATGAAGGTGAGTGGAAGAAATTGTTCTCCTTGCATTTAGGACGTTGTTGGTGTATGTTGGAGATTCGTCCTGATTTTCAATATAAATTGACATGTTTATATTTGAGAAAATATTGTTTTTAATTGGAGAATGAGTTGATTAACATACTGTTATAAAACATGAACTATTGTGAATACCAAACCATAGAAACTATTGTTCAACTTTTCATGGTTAACAACCCTGTTCCAAGCTAAAAAGTATGTTCCAAAATGTTACGAGCAAAAGTTCTTTATTGATTTATAAAGTTCCTTTGTGGGATTTGCAAACAAATTTGATCACCTGAAACTAGTCAGGAAACATTTTGTATTAGATTGACATAAACGTTTAAGTGGCATGAAATGGATGTTGTTGGACTAACCATGATTGTTGTGTAATCACATGTATAAATCTGCTAAAAATGTGGGGGAAATGTTTTCTTGGACATTGAGAAGAACAAGATGGGTCTCTGCAGAACTAAAGGATCAGTGGAAGATGAAAAATGTTTTTTTTTTTTTATACCTCCAACGTATTTTTTGTGGGAGCTTCAGGAGAAGCTGTTTCTACCTCCTTCTGGGGTTAAGACCAAATACCTTTTATTTGGTCTTACCCTCCTTTCTGGTTCCTGCTCTACTATCTGACAAGCCTGACCTTTGCTTTCCTACACTCGATACTTGTCTCCTTTCAGTGCTCCATCTGAGATTTGTCCCATTGACCTTGATTTCTTAGGATGCATTTCATTAGGACCAATCAGTGAACAGGAGGAGTTGTTGTAGTCTGCCTATCCATGGTTGTAGTTTGGCAATGCCAGACTACAACCAGACTAGGCTGTGAAGCCTATTACTCCATTGATTCTTGGGGTGCATTCACATCCTTGTGTAGTCCGCTTCAATAAAACTCTCATTGGTTTGCCTAGAACAGGGGTCACCGACTCCAGTCCTCGAGGGCTACCATCCTGTAACTTTTAGATGCGTCTCTGCTCAAACACACCTGGATCAAATAAACTGCTCGTTTCCAGCTTATTGTAGAGAGGAGTGAATGCTGGTGAGGGAATTCAGACATTTTGGAGCAGAGGTGAATCTAAAAGTTGCAGGATGGTAGCCCTTGAGGACTGAAGTTGGTGACCCCTGGCCTAGAAGGTCGGTCCGGTTTGTTTGGGCAGGCAAGAATGGACAATCAAAGTCAGATGTGGACCAAAAAAAGCTAAATCTGGTCCACCTGAAAACCTAGGTCTCTGTTTGGTTGAAGTGAACTCTAGTGCAGTTCAAAGACATGTGAATGTCATGCGGATCGGATACCGCTCCATAAGCAGAAAGTGAACTATAGTGCAGGGCATTCTGGATAAATGCAACCAAAACAAACATGCCAACAGGAGAAATGTCTCGTGTGACAACATTTCTCACTCCATTTTAATTAACATTTTGTGAAGAATGAAGATGTGCTCAATGTCTTCTTCTGAAGGTTTTGTTTTTTTTCCCCCAGTGGTTCTTCTTGCAGCGCCACCACAGGTGATTGGGGGCGGGGGGAACGGGTTGCTCAAAGGCTTCTTTAGACACATTGTACTGTAAAAGAGGACCACATCTGCTGAAAATGTTACAATTTTGCAATTGTTGCAATTTTGGTCTCCACATCAAACCGAGTCTACTGGGTTATCAGGTGTAAAGACACCCTTAAATTTGTCTTGGAAGCCAGCAGTTCTGATTAAGAGCCATTTTGTACAGCTCTGCACTTCTCTCTTTGCAGTGGGGTTGTTTATGTGCAAATTCCAGTAAGCGTCAGAGCATCCCTTCCTTTATTATCGATCTTGTATCATGATCAAATGCTAGCAATTGGGCAAAATCAGATCTAATCGTTGAAAACTTCATTATAGTCCATGCCTCCAGCCAGCAGTTGTTGAGGGTCTAGATCTTCCGTATGAAGCAAAGTATAGAACAAGGGTCTGGTTTTTACCAGACGAACAAACCACCATTTTTATTTTTTTGTTTGCATAACATGTCTTAAAGATGGACATTCTGCTTCTCATATTTTCCTATCAACCCCTCCCTTCTCAAGCTGTTATTTTTCTTCCTTGAACTGAACATTGCAACGATCCTGATGGGATTTAGGAGACTAGAGATATTTCAAGACCTAGAAGACTGAAGAACCGGACGGTGGAAGTTCCCAAAGGCTTCTTGTCATTGTTACAATTCTGTAAAACTTGTGCATTTTTGATAAAGATTGTACTCTTGATGATGTTTTAATTTTGGATTGGGGTTCTTGCAGTTTTTTTTTTTGCTGTGTATTTATTTTTGTATCTTTGTTCTTTGTTTTACTAAACTTAGTAAAAGACTGTTTTATTGTCTGAATATACTTAAAAAAAGTGTTTTGATGAGTTAATGTAGTTTAATAAAAGTGGTGTTTTAATACATCTGTTTGTTGTTCTGAATAGGACTGGCTTTCCCATCAGAACACTAGCCTTCATCTCGATAACTGCAGACTGCTGAGGTTACGGTGAGTTTAAAATAAACTTTGCTTTCGCTCCATAATTTCTCACTGTTACAATAAAAATTCTATTGATGTTCATGGGCAAGGTGTTTATAGATGTACTTTGGAACAACAATAACCGCATAACTATGTGGTATACACAAAGGAATCAGAAATATGTTCATGTACTTGTTGCCCAAGTTTAATGTTCCTTCAGTTGAGGCCCACATTTTCAAACAAGTACGAATTGGTTTGAATCGTTCCTAAGTCTGTTCGTTTCTTGAGTTTTTGCTGTCTTAATGTTGGAACCTTGTCTCCTTTTGATTTTAATTGGTGTTTTATTTTTCCCCAAAGATGCCCTGATTGGGATGGGACGACACTGGAGTTACTGAGGTAACTGCTGGTTTTCTCTCATAGTTGTGACACCTTGTGATCGTTCTCCTTTTCCGTTTTTCAACCATGCTTTTCTTTGTCATAATTCTCCACAGTGGTCCGGGTAAAGGTACCCAACCCTCGCCCACAGCTCTTGGCCAGAGTTTCCATGAGACTCGTTCCCATTCCCTCAGCCCTCAACGCCAACGTGGATCAGAGGATGGCAAGGAAAGTCCGCACCACCATTATGGGTCAGAGAGTAGAAGACAAAAACGTAGCAGCCGCTCTCGATCACATAGTCCACAACGCCATCATTCCTCCGATGGTCAACGAGAGAGACGAAGTAGCAGATCGCCACACACCTCCAGACACTCTCGCAGGTCTTTTTTAAAATATACAATGTTTTATATATATAAAAATGCCATAAAATTTTGTAAGTCACCTATATTTGAACAATTGTTTCTTTTAGGTCTCGCTCTCGTTCCTATGATCGCCCAACCTCGTCTCACCACCGCTCACGTTCAAGAAGTTACGAGAGGCGATCACCTCCCAGGAAGAGGGAAGCCAAGCGGTCGTCACCGAGGAGAAACTATGAGCGTCGATCGTCTCCAAGAAGAAGCGACGAGAGACACTCGTCACCAAGGAGAAGCCGTGAGGCGCGGTCTCCAGCGGAGAGATCCGCACCTCAGCGTAAGAGGTCCAGAAGTGCCGACAGACTGGCTAAGAGACTCCTGGAAACAACAGGTCTGAAGAATGCCCAAGATACTTTACCTTCAACTTTTAATAAACGAGTAAATTCATGCTGGTAAATCACAAATTCTCATTGTTCTTGTAGCTGTCCAGTCTCTGTCCAAACAATCTAACCTGGAGGCCATGGTTAAAACTCTGGCTCCTGCGTTACTGGCTGAGCTGGCTAAGATGAAGTCCTCTTCCAACATAGAGAAGAAGACGTCTTCTGCTAAATCAGCTAAAGCCACATCCAGCCGTCCAAAGAGCGGGAAAAGCTCTTCAGCGAAGCCTATGGTGAGTTTCATTTGACAAATGGATGTGAAACCTTGTTTTATCTGTTTACTCTGACTTTGGGCTGTGATTCTTCAAAGTAAAAGTTGGAGAGAAGAAGCAATCAGCTTGCATCTCCTTAACTAAAACGAATGTGCGAAGGTTTTAAAACTTGAGACTTAACGGTGCTAAAGACGTTTTTTACAAAAAATGATTGGTGCTTCATGTTTTTATCTGTTTATTTCCTTTCTGTTTCTTCAGTCTGCTGAGTCCTTATCTGCTGGCAAAGTGAGGCTCTCTAGCGTTTCTGCTTCCCTTTCCCATGACGACATTTTTGATGCCTTGGAGAAATTTGGAAAAGTCAAAGAAGTGAACATAGCAAGAGCATCACTGCAGGTATGCAGCATACATCTAATTAATTATTGGTTATTTTCATGACCAGTAGTGTGTTGATCTATCCAAAAAGTAGATGAATGGGATGAGTGGTCATAATTTGACTTGCACATTTTTATTCTGTAATTTTGTCTGTATCTGTAGGCAGTCATCCATTTTGAGAAAGAGGCAGATGCAGAGAAAGTGAAGAAATTACAATGCTTGCAAGTGAAAGGACTGACTGTCTACGTTGACAAAAAAATGGTAATTCACTTTCTCATTTGCTTCACAAATTTACCTCTCAATAACAGCACTGAATGAGAATCAATGTTGTTTATTTACAGAACGTTGTTTCCATGAAGCCTCAGTCGGCGCAGAAGTAAGTTTTACCTCACAGTAACTCTCAAGTTGAACTATAAAAAACACATAAGGTTGGCTTTGATAAAGCTAGACTACTAAGTTCCAACGTTAAAAATATTGGTCTCAAAATACCTTTGATTAAGAAATCAAGATCAAAACCTGTGCTGTCAGAATCAGCTTTAACTTTGGTTCTACTTTGCTCTCAATGAAGACATGTAAGAGGAAAATTATGAATCATTCATATATTCATAGAGTTTTTTACAAAAGAGGAAGATGAGGTTGAATTGGTGTGAATAGGTATGGTATCGATCTGGGCTCTGACAGTAAACAGATTGTGTCCAGGATGTGTGGGGTCTGCAGAGACGTTAGCTGTCCTTTCTTCACCCTAGATCTCTGAAAGTTGTGACAGAGGGAGTTTGTTTTTATCTTCCGTAAATATTTCTTTACGGAAAAGAAAATATTTTCTGAAAAGTAAAACAGGGCGTCATATCAATTTGTCAAAAGAAAACGCCAGTTGCCGTTTATAATGATTAACGTCTACAGGCTGCTTCATTAAACGCTCTTACGCAGTTATTTGTTAGAGTTGAGTCTCCTGTGAAGGCATAGCTAGTAACGTTCTCAGCCATTCTTTGTTGCAAGGAAGGTTTTTGTTGCTTTTCTCTACATTTGATACCGCAGTTTTCTTCAGTTTCTACAACATGAAAGGACATTTTGGAAGATTGTTTATGTGTTAGCCTAAAAACCAACCTTCAAATCTCTTTTCTTTGATTCAGATAATTCTCCTCTTACTTTATCCTTTCTCTGCAGAAAGTCTGCAGAGTCCAGTACAACATCCACTGGAAAAGCTAAGGCACGTGCTGTACCTGGGGCTAAATCCATAGCGACAGGCCAAGTTGCTCCAAAAGCAAAGGGTGTCCCCACCAAGCAGGTAGCTGTAAAGAAACCCAATACAGCTGGGAAAAGTGCAGTGAAACCGGTTGGAGTTAAAACTACAGAAGGCCCAGGAGTCCAAAAAACCAGAAGTCCAGTAAAGACGGCCGACGATTCTAAAGACGAAGCAACAAACACGAAACCTGAAGGTGATGAAATAAAATCTGCTGAAACTCCCAGTGAGACCGCTGAGGTGATGAAGACGTCGGATACGACTGTCTGTGATGAAGATAAAGAGGAGAAAATGGAAGTGACTCCTGAAGCAGGAACATCGTCAAACCTGGTGAAGGCTGAAACCCAACCAGACGCTTTGGGTGTGAAGGACTTGGAGTCCAAATCAGCAGCACCAGAAAACCAGCCAGTTGCTGCCAAAGCAGAAAGCGAAGAGCTCCCCCTGGTGTCCAAAACCGTCGACACAGAGGGAACCTCTGAAGAGAATCAAGTAGAAGAATGTCTCAAAGTGGATTCTGTAAGAATCAAAGTTGAAGATGCTGAACCTGGAAAGGCTGAACCAGAAGAACCCATGGAAATTTTGAGTTCTGCTGAGTCCAAAGACCAAGTTTCAGAAACTGTAAAACCAGCTGCTGGAGTTAAAACTCCACCGTGTTCGTCGTCTCCATGTAAAACCGCTGCTGATCCAGGTCAAACACAGCAAACCGCAGTGAAAACTGAAGAAATGTTAGAGAGAGACTCATCGCAGGTCCAGCCGTGTCCGATGGAGGAATCAGAACCCCCAGCAGAAAAGTTAAAGACAGAAACTGAGCAGCTACAGTCTCCAAAGAAGACAGAAACGAAGCAGGAAGGTGAGTTTGAAACAGTTTCCATCCAGTTGTCATGCAAATTTTGAGCAAACTATTAAAATGACGTAAAGTAGAAAATGCGTAGTAGGTATTTTTCCTTCTACTGGTTTAGCGTAATTTTGTACCAGATGTTGACATTAGGGATGGTTGGAGTAAAGGGGATCTAGCACAGGCCAACTAGCATGAATCAAACAACTCAGAAAAATGGAGAGTTCTATTGTGGTGCCTCTGGTAAGGCACAGATACACTAGTGAATGCAGTCACTCGCTGAACTTAACCGAAAAATGTGTTTTCATCTCTCGTTTTGCACATTAACTCTTTTTCGGAAAATCCAAAAACCACCTCAAGCGAGTAATAGTTCTTTTCTTATTATTTAAAACCTTGCAGCTTCTTTCAGTTGTTTCTAATGTGATACTTCAAAAAGAAACATAAAAAATCGTGGGTTTGAAAGGCGACTAGTTCAGTAGATATCAGATGGCAGATTCAGTTGATGTTATGTTGTTGGAGTGTTTAGTCAATGTTTTAAAGATCTTTTTTCTGGACATCTTTATTTATATGCAACAGCAGTAACATACATTTTTAGGACTTATGTTTACTTACGTGAAATAGATTTTTTTGTAAGTAAAAATGAAATAGATCCTCAAAATCTTTGGGACTGTTTTCTTTAACTTGCTTCAGCAAACTGACTGATACATTTTATCTGTCGTCCATGTTGGTTTATATATGGATCATTTCTGCCTTGTCAGCTCAAAAACTGCATTTTAGGAAATCCCTTAATATTTTACATCCCTTTGTTGTTGCATAAAAGCAAAATGAAACCATTTTTGCTTGTATGGAGATCTTTTATCAAGTTACGAAGTGTTTGGGATGAAGTTTGAGGAAAAGAAACTTGGTCCAGTTTTTCTATTTCTATGTTGTTGAGGCTTTTATTTGAACCTTGATCAAACTAGCAGACAGCCACCACTCACTACCTTTCACAGGGTTAAACAGGTTACTTTAGGAAAAAAGTTGTCCTGATAATTAACTCCAGTGTTTTTAGAATTCATATGAGCATGATGTGAAAATAAATCTTTGCGTGAACTCATTTTATTTTTACTCCGAACAATCTGTGACAGATGTAAGCAGTCATCTGACACCAGAACCTGTGAGCGACGTCGTGGCCGTGAAGCTTGACGAACCAACATCTGCTGAAGCGAAGCCTGATGAAGCCGCAGCGGCACCGGCTGACCTTTTCTCCCTCGCGGCCACGGTGAAGACAGAAAAGGAGGAGCAGCAAAAAGAAACAAGTAAGAAGTCGCATAACGTCGGTATTTGATCATACTTTCATTTAGCTTGCGCATCACTTCTCCCTAAAACATCTTGTCTTGCAGAACGCACAGCAGAGAAAACTGTCAAGTCCTCGACGGTAAGTTTTTATTTCCAAAACTCTTCATAAGTATTGCTCATCATTCGTGTGGAATAAGTGGATAATTATTTATTTATTTATTTAGAAAAGAAACATTAATTTTGCAAAATACATGGAAGAATCCATTGCAGCAAATTTGCTACAACTTGCTGCGAGTTTAACTTGAGTAAAATATGCAAATATAAACACCAGAATCAGGTTTATTCACCAGGTTTCTGCACTCAAACCAGGAATTCACCTTCAGTTCTGCTTTGCTCTTAATTAAAACATTTAAAATACAAATGTATAAAGATTAACACCAGGTTTGGTTACTTGTAAATATGTGCAGCTGTTTTTACATGGGAAGAAGACGAGCTTGAAGATGCGTCATGCATGACATCGTTCTGGACTGTCAAATACTTTGTCCTTTTCTACCTTTATACTGTGTAATATTAGCTTTCTGTTTTGTTTGCAGCCTCTTTCAAAAGACTCTCATAATGAGAAACAACCTCCACCTCAGACCCGTGCCTCAGTTTCCCCAACTCCAGCAGAACCCATCCAGTCAGGTTCTGTCAAAGCAGATATGATGGCTGGAAAAAACGAAGCAGGGGTCGTTGCAGTCCCGACTGCGTCCCGTAAGTCCAATGAAAATCCTGAGAGGAAGCGGTCACCCAGCGCTCCAGTCATCCCTGCAGAAAACCGAGCCACGCCTGATCTGTCCACCTCCACCATGTCAGTCGCGGCTTTGGGCAACCTGGAGGACGACGACGCTGAACTTCCTCAGATCAATGAAGAATTTTTCAGGGTGCTGACAACAGCACTTCGTGAGCACAGACTAAGACAGGGAGAAAAGAAAGCAAGTGAAGAGGTGAGACTGGCTCTAAATCATGGCATCTAGATGCCTACTCGTATTGAAAACTACTGCAAACACAGTAACTCTAGATATTTTATGATGCCCAATATCAAAATTGGGACTTAAATGCTGTTATTTAATGTATACTTTCTGTTCAGTACTTGACCAGTGGCTGAACTTCACAGTTATCTAAAAATGCTTTAAAAGTCCAAAAACTGATATTTTTTATTTGGTTCTTTAGAGTCTCACCATAAGCAAAACAACCTCTGAAGGTATGAAGGAGGAAAACACGCCACTCACAAAGGTAAATTAGCAGAGCTGTTTTCCCGAATCATGATATTTTTGGATTTGATTTTCTTTATTCTCCGTATATTTTACTAAAAACAGTTGACATATAAGATTTTGTCTGTTGTTATGAATCAAATGAATCGTAAATGTCGTTTCTTCTCCACCCAGGACGAAAGCAAAGACGATGATAACTACACGGACCCTTTTGATGAGTTTGGCTTCAACTTTGGAGACTTTGTGACTGTTGATGAGATTAGTGAGGAAATGGATGACACGCTGGTTGAAGACACCTCTGTTTCATTAGAGTCGACATCCAGAGATGCAACAGAAAGGCAGAGCCCCGATGTGTCCTCTGCTGCCAGTAAGACCTCAACAAGGTCTTCAAAAAACTGTAAGAGCTCAACTTCTTCCTCATCCAAGTCTGAGAAGGGCAGTGACTCTTTAAGTTCCACGTCTGAGTCCGAAAACAAGCAGAAACCTTCCTCTGAACCTCCCAAATTTGAAACCAAAACCTCATCTGTGAGTGGCGTTAAAACTTCTCCCTCCACTCCTTCTAGTTCTGTAAAAACTCCACCTTCCTCTAATCACAAATCTCAATCAAACAAGAGTAAGCCTCCCGTTAGGTCATCAGAAACATCATCCTCTGGTCGAAGTACTCGTTCATCATCAGCAGCAGCCACTAAATCATCTGCAGGAACACAGCAGGTGGGTAAAAAGGATGTAAAACCTAAAGAGAGTGCAGTGGCAAAGTCTGACCACCAGGTGTCAGCAGAGAGCTGTTCTGCAAAAACTGTTGAGTCAGAGTTGAGGATGAAAACATCGAAGATTCAACACGCAGAGGGACAGAGCTCACAGATCCAGAATCTGAAGTCAGATTTTAAAAATGTCAAAGAGATGAAGAAAAATGAAGTGAAGGATAAGAAAAAAGATATGGATGGCAAAAGCACAGAGGAGAAGAGGGGCAATAATGAGAATACACAAATCCTTGATTCCTTCAAAGAAAAATCTGATGGGCAGAAAAATAAGGATGACAATCAAGACAGAAGAACGGAAATCCAAATATCTGGACCTGAGCAGGACCATCTCGTTCAACAGGGAGCTGATAATGACAACGGCCCATCAGATGAATGCCAGGAAATGGAAGTAGATGAGTCCACCAAGCTGCAGGACGGTGCACTTAAAGATCAGGCTGCCACAGCTGATGATAAAGAACCCAACCAGACTCCAAATAGCAGTAAGGTAAAACAACATAATGACATTCGTTTATCCGAGAGAGTCTGTGAAATCTCCAAAGAGGTTGGTCAGACCTCCAATGAAGAAGACCAAAATTCACTAAAGCTACAGGACAAAACAAGAACATATGTGACACGAACAAAGGACAGCAAGATAGAAAAAGAAGAGAGTCTTGAGGATTTCGAGGAAATGGTCTATGAAGTTGTGGACTCCATTGAAGACGATTCAGTTCAAGAGCCCTCAACCACAGGGAGTTGTAGTAGGAGACAAACACCCAGAGGAAACAGAAAAGATGAGAAGACATCACCTCCTGTAGAAGAACCTAAGAAATCTGACGACGAAGAAGAGGAAGTGTTCACAGTTTTAGACTCTGTGGAAGAGGAAAGTCCCAGTGAAAAACCAGTGGTGACGAGATCGACTAGAAGAAGAGAAAACACAGCAAAGAAAGCTGAAGAAAATACTAAGACGAAGGAAGACAAGACCCCCACAAGAAGAAGATGCACACCAGTCAGAGATTCTAAGGAAAAACAGAAAACTCCAAAAAAAGATGTTCCTCTAAAGGAAAGTGCACCAACAAAGAGTAACTCTGCTGTAGCAAGTACTGGTCATGAGGACACCACCTACATGGAATTGGATGCTGTTGAGTATGACCAACCAACTACACAGAAACCAAGAAGAGGAAGACCTAAGAAGGACAATAAAACAAGTCGAGAACAAAGTGAGGAAGGAGAAGAGCCTGTTTATCAGATTGTAGATTCTCTAGAAGAAGATCAAGAAAATGCAATGACGGTGACATCCACTCTTCAGAAAGAAAGTGAGACAAAAGTTGAAATGACTGCAGATGTCAACATTGTTTCACTTACTAAAGCGAAGGAAGACGAGTCCCCCACAAGAAGACGCACACCAGCCAGAGATGCACAGGAAACAGACGGAGTTTATCTAAAGGAATGTGCACAAACAAAGAAGAGTGACACTGCTGTAACAAGCACTGGTGAAGGGGACGATACTTGTAAGCAATTGAATGTTAAGGATGGCCAACCAATGACACAGAAATCGAGAAGGGTAAAACCAAAGAAGGACAATAAAACAAGTAAAAAACAAACTGAGGAAGAAGAGCCTGTTTATCAGATTGTAGATTCTCTAGAAGAAGATCAAGAAAATACAACAACGGTTGAATCCAGTGAGCTAAAAATTGAAATGGCTGCAGATTTCAACACAGTTTCGTTTACCAAATTGAGTGAAGACAAAACCCTCACAGGAAGACGATGTACACCAACCAGAGATTCCCATGAAAAAGTTGTAGTTCCTGTAAAGGAAAGTACACCAGCACAGACGAGTAATGCTGCTGTAGTAAACACCGGGGAGGAAGACACTATTGTTGATGAACTGGATGCTGTTGAGGATGGCCAACCAGCAACACAGAAACCAGGAAGAGGAAGACCAAAGAAGAATAATAAAACCAGTAATAAACTGACTGAGGGAGATGAGGCCGTTTATCAGATTGTAGATACTGCAGAAGATGATCAAGACAAAATCATGATGGTAGCTTCCACTCATCTGGAGGAAACTGAGGCAAAGGTTGAAATGACTGAAGATGTCAAAACAGTTTTGTTTCCCAAAATGAAAGAAGACAAGATCCTTACAAGAGGACAACGCACACCAACCAGAGGTTCTCAGGAAAAAGACATAGTTCCTCTAAAGGAAAGTACACCAACAAAGAAGAGTGATGCTGCGGTAGCAAGCACTAGCGATGAGGACAGTACTTATGAAGAATTGGATGCTGCTGGGGATGGCCAACCAACAACACAGAAACCAAGAAGAGGAAGACCAAAGACGGACAATAAAACAAGTAAAAAGCAAACTGAGGAAGATGAAGAGCCTGTTTATCAGATTGTAGATTCTGTAGGAGATCAAGGAAAAAACATGATGGTAGAAGCCCATATTCGGAAGGAAAGTGAGACAAAAGTTGAAATGGCTGCAAATGCCAACACCAATTTGTTTCCCAAAACAAAGGAAGACAAGAACCTCACAAAAAGACGACACACACCTGCCAGAGATTCCCAGGAAAATGACAGGGAGAAAACTCCAAAACCAGATGTTTGTGTTCCTCCAGTGGAAAGTGCACCAACGATGAAGAATGACGCAAGGCACTTGGGTGGGCAGGAGACTACTTATGAAGTATTGGATGCTGTTGAGGAACAGGTTGTTGAGGCAGCAACACGAGCATCAAGGAGGGGAAGACCAAAGAAAGACAATAAAACAAGTAAAAAACAAACAGAATATCTGAAGGTTGACTCGCCCAGAAAGGATGATGAAGAAGAAGCAACATATCAGATTCTTGACTCTGTTGAGGATGAGGTGGCTGATGACGTAGCTCCTATTGACCAATCCGAGTGCGCAAAAACGTCAAGCGCTTTTGCAGATGATGACATAACGAAGGAAATGATTAGGTCACTATTAAATGAGGAGGAAGGAGGGACAATTTATGAAATTGTAGATTCGCTGGAAGAAGATCAAGTTCAAGAAGAGACAATGACAGAAACAGCCATGCAGGAGGAGCGTGAGACAACAGGAGATCTGGTAGCAAGTACTGACCACGTACTGTCCAGCCCCTCAACTGTAGAACCGTTTGGACAAACAGGTGGAGGGAAGGAGACCCAGTTAGCTGGTAAACCATTGGAGGATAAAGAGGATCTATCTGCTAAAGGCTCTGATACTGAGGGGAAGGCAGACGTTGTAGGGGAAGACGAGTCTTTAAATCAGCCAAATAATCACCTTGGTGCATCAGAGGAGAGTACACTAACTTCACCGAAGAGCAAGGACACAGAAGCAACCGAAAATATTCTTGTGAACCTGGATCAGGTGAGTGAAGATGAGGAAGATTATCCTGATGACGCGGCGGAGGAAGAAGAACTGAAGAAAAGGCAAGCTGCTGCTCAGAAAAGAGAAAATGACCGTGAGGAGAAAAGGTCCAGGGAAAGAGAAACTAGGGAGCGAAGGAGTCGAAGCAGCAGCAGAGGAGGGAGCAGGAAATCAACGCGGGAGCCGGAGAAGACGAGTCAAGAAGATTTAGAAAAGGTGGAAGTCGACGCCCAGGATCTGGTGACCCTTGATGAGGTGGGAGAAGATGAAGTCGGAGAGGAAGCTGTGACAGAGGCTCCAACATGGGAGGTGGAACTGCAGGATCTCGTTACACTGGATGAGATTGTTGAGGAAGAGGAAGGACAGCTTGAAGCCCCGCCTCAGAGTCTGGAGAGCCAATCCAAGGACTCTCTACAGCCAGAAGTATGGCTGAGATCCAACTATAGCTTGTTGAATCAAACATTGTGTCACAGATGGCATCATGAATCTCACTGGCTTGTCTGTCTCCCTTTAGACCTCGTCAACTTTGACAGAAACCACCCAGATTGAGGACAACAGAGATGACGATAATCATCCAAAAGAACCTTCCAGCTCTTCTAAACGTAAACTCGATGACACCACAGGTTCGTGACTAATGTCCTTAGAAGACTTTGCTATCAGTCTTTTTGGTTTCATCTCATATCGAGAGGGTTAGATTTCCTGCATAAGTAACCATGGCAACAGGTCTAGGTAAAGAGTAACCAGCTTCATTATGCTGAAAATCCTGAACTGAGGCAGAAGTTAACTTATTAAGCCACTAATTCTGCTTGGTAAAACAGGCCCCTGGCGTTCGCTGCTTGGACCTTAGTCAGAAAATATTTTCTTTGTGTCGTTTCATTCAGTGGTTCTTGGTGCAGCGCCACCACAGGCGAGGAGGAAAACAACGTGCTGAAAGGGTTTTTATTTGTTTGACAGAGTGCTGTGTAAAAGCGAACCGCACCAGTTCAAAGTGTAACAAACAATTTTAGTCCCGAATCGAACCGAGACTACTAAACTATTGAAAACACCCTGAGATTTATTTTGTTTTATGGGCTCCAGTCTATTCTACTGTGTTGGAAATAAATCTCTCTGTAGAAATAGTTTTGGACTGAATGCCTCAAAGTGGTACAAGTTCATCACCTGGTGACATAAATCTGTACCTGTGGAGCATCTTGAAACATTTATAGTTTTGTAAGTCTCTGTTCTGTTTAACATTTTTAACGTTGCTGTTCTGCATAACTTCGTTCTCAATCTAAAACTCTGTTTTGAAAAGAATATTTTGTACAGACCGGTAGGTTTGAATACGAGTGTGAAATGTTTTTACCTTTTGTTTTAGAGGAAAGTGGGAACTTTGTCACTGTTGATGAGGTGGGAGAGATTGAAGAGGAGGAGGAAAAGGAAGCAGTAACAAGAAAAGGTCGACCCAGGAAGAGAAGCCGACAGACTCCTGGTAACAAACACAGCTGCCTAAAGCTTCAATCAGAGAGTAAAGCCTTAAACTCAATTTACTAATTTCCTTCTACAGTGAGAAAATCTACCAGAGGCAAAACAGTGAAGGAAGAAAATCATAGACAAGAAGAGGAAGAAAATAAATCCCTGCCCTCTGCTTCCCTGGACTCCTCCTCGACTCTGGACACATCTGGTCCATCAGGTGACGCTCAGTGTGAGACCCAGAGGACGGAGGAGGGGAAGAACACCGAAGCTGCTTCTACCGAACATCAGCCTCTGCCTAATGATGGACTGAGATTAGGATGTGAGGAAGCAGAGAAACAAGAGCACAGAAGGGCCGACGCTACAGGTACACAGCATGTTAAACACCACGATGCGGGCCGATGGCCCAAAGGCCGACATCCACATTTCTACAGACGGATTTTTTTCAGAGATCATCCATGAATGATCAGGGTTTGCTGAAACACTTGAAAACTGAATATTTATAATAGCACTTCGTACAAAGTGCTATTGTACGAAGCACTTACAAATGTAATCTATTATATAATAATAGATTCCAAATGCCTTTATTAATGAGCTCATATGTGTATTTATTTAATAATTTAGCAGAATTGCATTGAAAATATTGCTTATTCTGTCAATTCTATGTTTTTTAATTAAAATGCAATTAATTGCGATTAATCAAAATTGCATGTATTTACAGTAGGAAACTTTAAAAAGCAATTGTGAGCAGCTTAAGCAGGTCTGCAGAAAAGCCAATATGGATGTGTAGTTACGGCCTGCATGTCATATTACCAGCAAATATATTTTTTTATATTCTACCCTAAACCAGTTGATGTTCAGTTTCAGCTGTTCACAAATTGTAAAACAGGTTTTACTGCTTAAATTTTAAATCTGAGGTAAGAAACTGGAGAAGACTTCACCCTGTATTCATGATCTTTGCTCTTCTAGCTGTGGATAAACGGAAGCGGGATTTGACTGGACCCGAAGCAAAACGATCTCGCTCTCAGTCTCCGAGTGTCTCTGCAAACCTGCAGCTGCCACCGTTTAATCCCAGAAACCCTCTGGGTGAGAAACGCACACATTACAAAAACAAAACAAGGGAAATAGATGCAAAATGGAAGGGAATCATTTCCTGTTTTCTCCCTTTCCCCGCCCAGGTAAGGAATTTGTGAATCCCACGTCTGGGTTTTTCTGCAGTTTGTGTTCTGTTTTTTACTTAAACGAGGATACGGCCAAGGAAGTCCACTGCAGCAGCCAGGAGCACTACGACAACCTGAAGGTACGCACAGACATGCTCAGAGTTCAGAACACAAAACCTTTACTCCGTCTTGGTCTTTGATTGTCTTCCGTTCCTCTTTCTCAGAACTATTACCAGAGACTTCAACAAAATGTCCAAGGCTCGCTTTCGGACTGATCAGATCGTTTTCCTGGAACATGAGGAACCACCAAAGCTTTCCAGCACCATGATGGACTGAGCTGTAACTTTTTTTTCTTTATTTTTCTTAAACCTTTCAGTATTTCGTCAGTTTTTTGTGCCTTCTTTATACATAAGTTATATATTCCCCAGCTAAAAGTGGCAAATATACGTATTTTGGAGTATTTTGCTGCTAACTTAATTAGGAAGGTAAACAACTAAAAGTTACTACCGACTCAATAAGTATTGAGAAAAACAGGCAGCAAATGAAATGCTGTTTACTAGTGTGGACTGTTCAAATGATAGATTTATTCTACAAATCAAAAGGTTACGTTACCATCAACTTTTCCACATTCATTTGTCACTCAGTGTCACAGCATAGTGCATCAGTTTGATGCAAAGTTGAGTTCAGTTTTATTTAACGGTTCCTGACTAATGGAAGCTGCTGTTCTGCATTTAGTTTTGTAGTTGAGACTCAACTTTTGTTTATGTTGTGACTTTTCTCTTTAAACAAGGGTCCAATGTGTTGTTTCATTTCTGTACATTTATTTAAAAAATACAGTGAAAACGTATTGTCTCATGTAAAGAAATTCATAAAGTGTAATTATCTGATTTGAAAGTTAATTTTAGTCTGTGTGTGAAAGAGTAAAGACTGAGTCATTTTGAATCCTTTTCTGTTGTGACATCTGATGACTGAGATGATTAAAAATGAATGAAAACATCACTGGGTTTTTTGGTATATGTACCACACATACGAGTCATCTTTCTTTATGTTTTACTTCTTTTTTTTTGCTACTTTTTAACCTGAACATTTTTTCTTGTTCATATTAAAATTGAACTCCTGTTCCTTGCCACAAAGGCCTTAATTAAAACTTAAACAGCAACATCTGACTGGAAGAATTTGATCTGAATTTCGTTTCTAAATCAAATATTGCTTTTAAATGCTTAAAAACTAAGCTTAAAAATGCCATTTTTAAGCTTAGTTTCAAAACAAATGCAAATTTCAGTTTTTTTTTATTGGAAGAATTGCATCGAGTACCTTTTTTTTTATTAGGTTTAGAAATGCTTTTTGTCCTAAGGCACTAAATGACAAATTTTCTACAGCTTATATGTATAAGTCATGTAAAGTTCTAAAGATTTAGTTAGTACTTGGGGCTAAAATGTCTCATGAATGTAAAGGTGGTTTTCCGGCATACGCCGTCGTGAAAATGGTGCGGACCCCTTCAATGGTTCTTCGCTTTCGTGCTTTTAAACTGAAGTTTCTCAAACCGGAAACACTTAAAGGTCATATCCGTTTACTGATGCGAAAGAACGAAAGACGTGAATGGAGGCTAAAAATAAGTCTTTAATCGACCCGTGGAGCTGTTTGAGTTCGTGATAAGTGGACTTTTAACACACTTTTGCTGAGTGGTATGTAACTGAAGTGAATGTAAAAAATACCGAATGATGAGAAGTCGTTGCTTTCGGGTTTCATTTTGACCGTTTGTGTTGTGTTCCCCTGTAGCCGAGGGAAATATTAGCATCAACGTTGCTTCATGTAAAATGATGAATTTGTAACATTCATCGACTACTAACGGAGCAGAATGAAAAATAATGAGATGTTATTGCGATATGACATATTTAAGGGTGCGTCTCGATATTTATTTAACACATGTTTTACTATATTCTGTGATTTCACCGTTTGCGTGAGAATTGTTTATGCTGCAGATACGGTTTTCCAGGTCAAATGGGGCTAGCAAAGCCCCATTATACCTCGGTTTCTTTTCCCCCCGTTTGCCGTGCAGCTCTGTAGCAACTCCCTACTGTCATGAAGACTGTTTGGATGGAGCTGTGAAAGAGTTTATACCGGGTTTTTCTGTTTTCCACCCCAAGAATCATCTCGCTGACCACAACACTGGCTGTCCTGACTGACCCCTGACCAGAAAGACCACAAAGGACTGGGAGATTATTTAAGATATAGTTAATACACACTATAACCTTACTAACTCGTCTCTCTTCTCCCCCTGCTTCTACTTTATATAAACTATCGTTATATTTTATATAAAAAACATGTAGCAACCACCAAGAAATCAGTATTTATGAATTCTTAAACTGGGAAACTCTTAAATGTTTGCTTTTGATGTAATTTGTTTAGTTTTTGTATACTGATCCCAGTCACATTCACTATGTATGGTGTATAATCTACAGGAGCCAATACAAAGATACTTCTTTTCCAGCATCACCCACAAAATCATTCCTGTGTACATTCAGATCACATGCTAATAATTACACACTGAGGAATGACAAGCCCCTTTTTAAACATACAAATAGATATAAATATGGTCTCTACTTATGATTTTTTTTCGCTTGCACGATAAAAACAATGTCCTCGCACAGGAAAGTCGGGTTGTTGGAAACTCTTTTAAATCAGGTACATGTGTGTTTAAGCCCAGACAAACATTTAGAATAGAATAAAAATATATTTTATTCTGCCCAACAGCAGAAACGTCTCAGGCAATAACAACAAATAGGCTCATTCAAAGATAAATTATGAAAACAAAATAAAGAATAAAAATACTGTTCAGTAAGGGCAAAATTTTGACATATTTGTCTTTTTTTCCACTTTCTATTGTCTGAAATAAATGGCAAAATATTGAAAATCAGACAGAAATATATATGGTACACATTGTTTTACTTCACATTAATTCAAAAATGTGCCGGAGAAGCAAATGTTTTATCCAGGTGTTTGTTGAGATTAACATATTTTAAAATGCAACCTTTGTACTCTAGGCTCCAGGTCTTTATTAGACTTATTACCAGCCAGTAAGCTCTGTTACAGATCATTTGAGTTTTAGGATTTGTCAAGACAAATATATAATTTTATTCTCTTAAAACTGATTGTATCATAAAAGTTATGGTCATTGTATTAAACCAGAAGGCTCCAACAGATACAGCCATCTAAAATGAAAAACCTGTGGCTAACAGACTTTTTTTTAGTTGCTTAAGCAAATACAACAAAATCAAAACAAACAAATTCTAGGGATGTATTAATTCCAGTGACAGTGTTTCCTCTATTCATTCTTAAATAGCAGAAACATTAGCTTTCTATTCTTTCTCACTTATTAACACCTGAATCTTTTTAAGATATCTGCCTAGCTAACAGAAGAGTTGGCTAATGGGCAGGGAACTTCCAATTGTTGGATTTCATTCATCCACCAAGCTAAAGTCTAGCCCCAGTCTCTAACCCCATTCTCTGTTCCTTTAAACTTTTCAGCTTTTCTTTGCTTTTGTAGAATTGCAGCCCGTGTTGTGCTCCTGGGCACCGAAGAAGCCCCCCATGTTGGCGGGCTTCCCGGGAGCTTGCCACTGCCCAGAGGGCAGGCTCCATCTTTCCAGTTGGGTCAGCTAGATCTATGAACAATGTCGTCCTGGTCTGCGGCTGTCCTGTGACCTGAACGACAAACTCCCAACGCACCTGCTCCAAACTTAGCCACAAAACCACCTTCGCCGACTGCTGTGGGCATCGGTCTCCTGAACCTTCTGAAGACCCTTCTGAAGACTGCTGACACCATGTCTCATCCCATGTATAATCCTTTCAACCCTGGTAAGAGGATGCGGCCCCAAGGAGCATATGTACACCCAGGTGGACAAATGGAGATGAACCCTCGGAGGCCACCACCTCACCCTGGCGCTGGTTCCAATTCCGGCTCTTCTGGGTCTACTGCCATCAACTGTGGACCATCTGGAGGACCTATCCCGTCCCTTCTGAGTTTGCCAATAAACTACAGACCTGAGAGAAGTACGGTACCAGTAGACAAGGACATAGACCAACGTTTGGACTTGAACATCAGCAGAGCCAGGGAGGAGGCTATGCAAAATTCTGCAAGCCAAAACACCCAATTTACCAATGTTGAAAGAGACACGTTTCCATCCACAAACACTGGGATGCAGTCATATTTGCCACCTCCTGCTGCTCAAGTGAACATACCCTTCACTGTCGAGAGAGACAGCACCTCCTTGAACTGGGCCTCAGTGGAAGAGTCGTCAAAAATGTATCCTTCTGCTCCACCCACCTTCCTAGGCAGTGGTGAAGGTGGGAATCAGTCCTTTGTTAGTTTGGGTAATTATGACACTTGTATGTCTGACAAATCTGCGCCTCCTTGGGAGTCCATTCACTCCACATACACTTCAGAATCGGCCACGGACATCCTCCAGCAGTTTGGGCTTCTGAGGGAAGACCTGCACCGCCTAACGTCATACCCCGAACACCAGATCACCCCCGACAACCTGCCTTTCATCTTAAGGCAAATCCGACTGGAGAAGGAGACGAGAGCGCCAACTTCAGTTCACTCAACATCCTACGATGAAGCTCAACCCATGAGGAGTATGGGTGAAATGGACGAGTTGATTACCTCCAGAGGGCCAGTGTTGGATCCAGATCAAGTAACTTTGACGGTTGTCAAACAAAGCAAAGTGATTGACTATGGACATTCCTCAAAATCAGAGTTGTCCTCTTTTGGTCAACTGAACAAGGACACAGATTTAAGACAACTCATGCCTGAAGTTCCATCCAAGAACCCAGGACCAGCTCACCAGGCAGCCTCTGAAACCCAGCTGTCCAAACCACCCTCGAATTTGATTCGCGGAGTTCATCCTGGGCGCCCTGGACTCGTGCTTATTGGCAGCAATGTCCAGAGTCATGATGACAATCAGCGCAAATCTACAAGGCAAGCCTCAAAAGCTCCTGATTTGGAGATGAAGAATAAAACCAAGGGTGGACTGAAGCAACAGCTACAGAGGCACCAGGGACCTCCACAGCCTGTGACGAAGCCACCACCATTTCTACAACACATGCATCCTGCTCCACCTAATCCAGGGCCAAGCAAGATGGATGCCATGACTCGTGCTGGGCCGCCAAAGCATCTGCCGCCGCTAGCCCTTATGGAAGACTGCTCTGCAGCAACACCAAGACTATTTCCTCATACCTGTTCTCTTTGTATTAAACAATGTACCAATTTGAAGGTGAGTGGATGGTTGCAGATTTCTCCCATAGCAAGTAGGATATGGTTGGTGTGTGTTGGACATATTCGTGATGATTTTTTGTTTGACATAATGAGAAGCTTATTTTAAGGAAAGGCGTAGATTATTGTTTAACCTAGACTTCTAACAATAATGCATTCAAAACTTAGGGTTGTGTACCAAAATGTTTCTACCTTTGATGGTTCTGAACTATTCTGTAATTCAAAGTTGTTGAACTTTGTCATTTTGAAGTAATTTGATGAACTGACACTCATCAGAAAATCCCTTTTTAATTGGACCTATAGAGATTTATTTAGGATATCATGGATATTACTGGATTAGCCATGATTGTTTCGAAACTGCATATGAAAGGATGTGGAACCAAGCTGTGATTCAGCTGACGAAAATGGAAACGAGCGGCTTTATAGACATGAACAAAAACAATCTGGAATAGCCGACAGATCATTGGGACTTGACCAGATGTTTGAGTTTATTGCCGAAGGAGGTAAGAGGATACATTTTCGTTGGAACCATTTATAACTCCTGATGTCGGAGTGAAGAGGACATATTTTTAAAACAAAACTTTTTGTTTCATTTAAAGTTTGTATTTTTGAAATATAAATATTGCTGAGCCTTGCAGCGAGAAAGCCCTGTGTTTAAATCCCGGCCTCGGGTCTTTCTGCATGGACTTAGCATCTTTTCCTTGTGCATGTGTGTGTTCTCTCCAGGTTTCCCACGGTCCAAAAAGTTGCTAATGTTAATTGGTCTCTCTAAATTGCCCTTAGTTATGAGTGTGTCTATGAATGTTTTTCCAGTGTATCTCTGTGTTGCCCTGTGATCGACATGCGGTTTACTAGCCTCTCGCCCAGTGTCTGTTGGAGAGAAGCACTCGCCGCCATTCCAGGGCCAATGGGTATGGACGATGGATGGAATGCTTCCCCCGCCCCTTCTGGCCCACAGCCATCTCTTTCTTCAGCTATAATTTCCCCTCTTGGAATGTTTTTGTCCTGACATGAAGCGGACCACCTTCCACAGATGACCCTTCAGGAACCTCAAATTCTGATGAAGACCAAAGAGATGGACACCGGAGTTGCCCAAACCCCTTAAGGAGTTTATCAAGCTTTTGCTTACTTTGGGAAAATGTTGAAGACATTATTTTAACCAAGATTTGTAAATTGTTGTGTTCAAGATCAAATGTAATATGATTATGTTTAGGTTTTGTAGGTTACGGGTCCTTCAGAATTTTGCTAGCATTTCTTTTTCTTTTATTGCAAACAGCTGTTTAGTTCATTTGTTGCTTAATGTTTTGACATTAAGCGAAACGTGTGAGATTCCAGAGATGTGTGAACATTTCTTTTTAAAGGTTTCACCGACTTACTTTAGGGCAGTACTTCTCATTTCTGGTCGTCAAGGACCATTGAGCTGCATGTTTTAGGTATTTCCCTTGTGCCACACACCTGACTTGAACAGGTGGGTGATGACATGCAGAGGAGGTCAAGCAATCACTCAAATCCGGTGGCACATCTAAAATATTCAGGGCAGTGATCCCTGATGCGCGGTATTGAGAAACGCTGCTTTACGATATGCTAACAAGTATGGTGTTTAAAACATTTGTTTGTTGTGAATAGGACTGGGTCTCCCACCAGAATACTGGTCTTCATCTTGGGAACACCACACTACTAAGGGACAGGTTAGTCTGATCTTTTTAATTTCTTTTTGTCTTGCTTGACAATCTCCACAATGAACTTTTGGGTGTTGTAAGATAGGATCAGCTGGGTCAAGAACCCTACTATAATGTTTGGATGATATTTTGTCTTTCAGGCTATGTCCGAGTTAACATAACTCATGTCTTATTATTGATGTTTGTTGAAGTGCTAGCCAGATGTTAACATGTTTCTTTACTCTTTCAAGTCAATAATTTGGTTTCTAAAATATGTCAGTGTGGTTCTGACATATTTTAGAAGGCCATCCAATGATGATGACATTGTCTAAAAAGTTATTGTCCGTCATAAACTTAAGTCTTTGAAATTTTTTAAAAAAATGGTTTGACTAGCATTCTCTATCCTGGAGATGTTCAAGCTCTACTCTCAGACCAGATCAAATAATACAGGCAGACCAGGACTTTCAGCAGCCAGTACAGTCTCTGTTTTACTATATCTTCCTACAAGGTGGTAAAACACTAAATTTGGGAAAACCTAACTTCTTAGATAAATAATTCATTGTGGTCTGATATAAGTCGGATATTTGGTCGGATACAAGTTCAAAACAGACACCAAGAACAAGAGCAGTGGACTCCTGGTATTCGTTTCGGTTAGGGACCACAGCCACCTGTGAATAGATAAAAATCTGCAAATGCTTGAGATCTCCTCTAAAATAGATTATAACTGCCAAATCAATCCCCAAAAATACCCTATATAATATAGAGGAAGCCATCTTGGCACTACTGCAGAACATCCACTTGTAAGGCCAACAGCCAATCAGTGTCAAGGAAAATGCATTGTTGTGCAATGCATATCGCTCCTGGATTGGTGTGCAAACTCCAGCCAGTCGTGTTTCATCTCTTATGGTCCATTTTAAAAACGACTCGATCGGAAGCGTGATGTTATATGTTGGATCACATCCATTGTTCTTCTGCAGGGTTGTTTTTTTCCCTGTTATTGTCCACAAACAAATCCCAGAAGTTTTTATTTGAATTGGTATGTTTAATTTTCCACAGATACCCTGAGTGGGATGGGAGGACTCCAGATTTCTTGAGGTAACTCTGGCCTTTCAACTGGACTGCATTCATGGTTATTAGGGATGCATGGTGAATTAATATTGGTGTATATTTGCATGTTGCTGTTTGTGTTGTTGGAGGGGAAGTGAAGGGAAAGAGATCGACTGTTAGCTTGGATTGGAAAGACCTTTTATCCGATGGCACGACGGACCAAACTGAGACCATAATTTTAAAACAAAAGAACTTTATTTGTGGCATAAAAACACACTTAGTTTTTCAACAATCAAAACTATGGTGTGTATACATTTAATGTCAAAATTAAAAATAATTCAACAAAAGTATAATAAACAAGCAAAGTATACCAAACAAAAAAAACTCTTTTACATGAAACACCCCAACCAAAGGAAGCTGTTATACCTTTCATTATGACATCTTAACATTAATTTAGTCAAAACATCTGAAAACATAACAAACATAGTAAAATTTATCATAACAGATCAAACAAATCTGTTTTATCCAGAGTGAGTCTTCATGTTCGTGATCAAGGTAGATTTTACTTATTTTATACTTTGTTGGCATTTGTGGACATGAATTATTGAAATCATTCCATCAGCAGGTAAGTGTTTGTCCAGAAGACTCACTGTGGACGAAATTCACCATAGATCTGTCAGGACAAAGAACTAAATATGTTTGAAGATAAATTGTTTTCGGATGTCAAAAGACCAAAGTTTGGACCACAACACTTTGATCTTAAGAGGTCAATATTATCCTAAAGAAAGATGTAATCTTTTACAACTTTACTGCCGCAGCTGACGCTGTCTGATGCGCAACTCTTTGCACTTTTGCAAAGAGTTCAATGTGGTAGGTTTATTTTTATGTCGTCTTATCGTGCTGTTTCCAAGGTTTTGCTTTAACAGCACTTTAATCTGTCTTTTCTTTTTTTTTTTTTTTTTTAGTGCTTCGGCTTTAGATTCCCATCCTAAACACGCAACTCGTGGCCATAATTTGCAGAACCGCCGACAGACATCGTTTCAAAAGAACATATCGCGTTTGCCTGCTCCTCACCGCCGACGTGGGTCAGAGGACAGAAAGGAAAAACGGGACAAAAGATTTAGTCCTGCAAGATCTCAGAGTCCGCTCCACCATCATGGCTCTGAAAGTAGAAGAGGGGGACGGAGTAGCAGATCACGGTCGCCGCATGCCTCCAAACACACTCACAGGTGTGGAAGAAAAACTTCTTTTCAAAATTCAAAGAGAATTTTATGGTATTAAACTGTTTTAATTCCTCCTTTTAGGCCCCGCTCTGATTCTTATGATCGCCAAACTTTGTCACGCTACCGCTCACGTTCAAGAAGTTACGACAGACTGTCCTCTCCCAAGAGGAGGGAAGCCAAGCGGTCGTCGCCGAGGAGAAGCTACGAGCGCCGATCGTCTCCAAGAAGAAGCTACGAGAAACGCTCGTCACCGAGGAGAAGCCATGAAAGGCGGTCATCAGGAGAGAGATCAGTGTCAGGGCATAGGAGGTCCAGAAGTGCCGACAGGCTGGCTAAAAGAATCCTGGGAAAAAAAGGTTTGAATATCAAAGAGTTTTAATCTTTAGCATTTAAAGAAGTTGGTAAACTCTTTAACTTTTAGTTGACAAAATGCCTTTTTGTTTTCCAGCTGTTCAGTCTCTGTCCAAACAGACCGACCTGGAGGCCATGGTTAAAACTCTGGCTCCCGTTTTACTGGCTGAGCTGGTGAATTTAAAATCCTCCGCTGCCTCGTCGTCCTCAAAGACAGAGAAGACGACTTCTTCCCATAAATCATCCAAGGCCACGTCCAGCCGCCCAAAGAGCGGGACAAGCTCTTCAACAAAGCCTGCGGTTGGTTTCATTTAGCCAATATGGCTGCTATTTTTATCTGTTAAGCAGTTTATTAATTTATTTTATTTGTTTATCTTCTCCTGGGTCAGCCTGGTAGATCCATGACTCCCTGCATGGTGAATTTCTCTGGTGTTTTTACTTCTCTTTCGCACACCGACATGGTCGAATCCTTGGAGAAATTTGGAAAAGTAAAATCGCTAGTTATGTACAGATTAACAAAGAAGGTAGGTATTTCCTTTCCTCCTTTATATACTGTATATCTGCATATTTTGTTATACTCTGCCTATAAAAAGTATGGTTTTTATTTATTTTGCTTTGAAAAATCAATTGGGATCAACAAAATAAGTATTGTTGACAAAAAACAACTAACAGAAATCCCTTCTTAAAGTGAAAACATATTTTTACAAAATGACCAAAATATTTACCGTATTTTCCGCACTATATGGCGCACCTAAAAACCTTCAATTTCCTCAAAAGCCGACAGTGCGCCTTATAATCCGGTGCACCTTATATATGGACCAATATTGAGCCACAACAGGTCTAGCAACTACGGTGAGCAGCTGCCGGCTTCATTTTCGCCCCTAGTAGAAGAAGCGCGCGGTGTATGCTGGGATAGTTGTCAGAACGCTGGTTTGTTAATAAAGTTTGACTGACCTATCTACCTACCGATCGTCTATAATCAGGTCGTCTGCAGGTCATTTAGCACCATGTTCTCCACCAACATGCTGTGCGCGAACCGAGAAGGGTGACCATCGTCCGGCCATGCCCGGCCCAGTCGTGGAAGGTTCTCCTTGAGTCGGACTGTTTTGTTGATATTCACTTTAGTGCAGCTCCATCTAGTGGATGCATAACGTAACTCCAGCCTCTACTGCAGCGTCTATTCTATGCGCCTTATAATCCGGTGTGCCTTATAGTGCGGAAAATACGGTAACCTAAAATGACAGATTCATTCCCCTCAAGTCAATATTTATTTAGATGCCTTTTTGGTTGTAGTTCCACTACGGAGTGATGCTCAAGCTCATTCTCTACCTGTGAGGTCTGGGCTTTGACTGGGCCACTCCAGAACATCCATGCACCTTGCTGTGGCTGTACATTTTGTTTAGTTGTTTTCTCCTCTAGGCGCGTGTGATTTTTGAGAAAGCAGAGGATGCAAAAAAACTGCAGTGCTTGACGAGATGCAACGTGAAGGGATTGCCCATCTCTGTTGACAGACCACTGGTACTTCACTTTGTCTGGACCTAAACTAATGTTACACCGTCAACAGCTCACTTACAACATATTGTTTATTTATAGGGCACCACTTTGAAGAAGTCTCTGCAGAAGACAGCTCCACAGAAGTAAGTTATGCCTCAGGATACCCAGTTTGAAATGCTTAAAAAAACGGAGATTATGAGAATAAATTTGAACTAAAACAGTTTGCCAAGGTGCTTCATTTCTATTTCTCTCCTTATTGACTTTCTTCACAGAAAATCTGGTGTCTCCAGTTCTGAAACTACCAAATCCCACGTCACTGTGAAAGTTAAAAAGCTTGCATCGTCTGAGACTAAAAACACCACAGCAGGCAAATTTGTCTCAAAAGCAAAAGTCTTGGTTTCCAAAGCAAAAGGCATCGCAACAAAGAAGGTCTCTAAAACTGTCAGCAAATCCAGTATGAAGGCGAAAAGCACTGGGAAGACGGTTGGAGGGAAAAATCAGGCTTCAGTGGTCCCAAAATCCAAGATTGCAGGAAAGAGACCCCCTGCTGATAAGGCTAAAAAACCGGTGACAAACTCAAAACTTGTGAGAGACGGTGTCAAATCTGCACCAAATAAGGCATCACAGGTCAGAAAGCAGCCTAACAAAACCGTAGCAGGAAAAACATCAACTTCTAAACCAAAAACCACCGTCAAAGCTGAAAAGAGATCTGCAAAGTCTGAAGAGAAATCTGCAAAGTCTGAAGAGAAATCTGCAAAGTCTGAAGAGAAATCTGCAAAGTCTGAAGAGAAATCTGCAAAGGCTGAAGAGAAATCTGCAAAGGCTGAAGAGAAATCTGCAAAGGCTGAAGAGAAACCTATGAGATCTGAAGCTAAATTTAAAGAAAAACCTGTGAAATCTGAAGAAAAATCTGTGAAAGCTTCATCAGAGAAGCAGAAAAATACTGCAACTTCTGTGGAAGATCGGAAAACCAAAACTGAAGCTGAGGAAAAGCAGAAATTGTCTCTAAGGAAGACAGATACACAGCAAGGTTAGTTTCTACTAAAAAACAAAAAAGAATTGCTTTGGTGTGTTGTGATATTCTGTGTGAATCGGGCTCAGTCAGGTCCTTGAAAATTTTATGTTTTTTTTTTTTTGTTCTTCAGTTTCTCAAACATCTGCAAAAGCTTCTGCTGAATCCTCCACCATAACATCCGTCAGTGATCCGGGTAAAAATGCTGCTGAACTTCCCCATGTGGATGATAACAGCTTCAAGACTTTAACAGCAGCAATGAACAAGAACAGACTGACTGAAAGAGCCGCAACTGAAAACAGGAACAAAGAGGTAATGGTGGCTTTATTTAGACTTTCTAAATAAGTCTCGATTCTCGATCAAGTGTTGAAGGTGGTTCATAAATACTTTTACTCGTTTTGCAGAGCAAGACGACTCCTGAGGATGCAAAACAGAAACACCCACCCCACACAAAAGTAAATGTAATTTTTTTTCTCCCCTTTTTAGTCTGTTTTATATCTTACTTGCATTTTGGTTACAAAATTGACATAAATAGTTTTAAAGTCTGCCATTTTATCTCCACCCAGGACAAAACTATACATTCTTTAGGAGAATTTGATGAGCTTGACTTTTACTCTGGAGATTTTGTAACAGTTGATGAAATTAATGAAGATGTTGAAGACATGGTTGTAGAAGATCGCTCTTCCTCACCAAAGCCAACATCCAGAGAGACAAAAGACAAGCAGAGCTCAGCTTCCAGAAAGACGTCAACAAAGTCGGCCTCTTCCTCATCCAAGTCTTCAAAAGGCAACTCATCCTCTCGATCCACTTCGTCATCAGCAAACAAGCAAAAAAGCCTCCATGAGTCCAAGAAATCTGAAACCAAAACTACGTCTGCCAGGGGAACTAAAAGTTCCTCCTCACTTTCAAAGTTTGGGAAAACTCCACCTTCCTCTGGTCAGAAATCTCAGTCAAACCAGAGTAAGCCTCCCGTTCGGTCATCAAAACCCTCATCCGCAGGTGGAAGTGTCCGTTCACCAGCGGCAGCCACTAAATCATCTGTAAAAACTCAGTCGGTGCATAAAAAGGATGCAAAACCTACACAGGGTGCAGTGGCAAGGTCTGACCACCATGTGTCAGCAGAGAGCTGTTCCGCAAAAAAGAATGAATCCATCAATGAGAGGAAGAAAACCCAAGCAAAGGATAAGAAAAATGGCACACAGGAGACGATGGGCAATGAGAATAAACAAGTTCTTAATTCAATTAATGAAAAATCTGATGAACAGAAAAACAAGGATGACAATCAAGACAAAAGAACTGAAATCCAAATATCTGGACCTGAGCAGGACCATCTCACTCATCAGGGAGCTGATAATGACAACGGCCCATCAGATGAATGCCAGGAAATGGAAGTAGATGAGTCCACCAAGCTGCAGGACGGTGCACTTAAAGATCAGGCTGCCACAGCTGATGATGGAGAAGAAGTTCCCACAAGGATGCAGGTTTCTGAAAATGATGAGGCTAAAGAAGCCCAGAGTTCTGACGGATCATCTGATAAAAACCAAGTGACAAGTGAAGAAACCAACCAGACTCCAAATATCAGTGGTGTAAAACAAAAAGATGACATCCTTTTATCAGAGAGAGTCTGTGAAACCTCCAAAGAGGTTGGTCAGACCTCTAACAAAGACCACAATGGCAGCAAAGACACTTTGAAAGACCAGAAACTGGTAGTTCCCACTGACTTTCTGTCTAAAGCAGAGGATGAACCCACAGATGAAGAGACTTGCAAGGTCATAGATTCATTGGACGATCAACCCGAAAAAACTGAGACGGAATCAGAACGAGCAACAAAAGACAGTAAAATCGTCTCTGGAGATCCCAAACCAACTGGAGAAGGTGAGTCAAAAAGCAAAACATCTAAAGGTGAAAAAGAAAAATTACCAAAGCAACAGGACAAAACAAAGCCTGCAGTACAAAGAAAGGACAGCAAGATAGAAAAAGAAGAGAGTCTTGAGGATTTCGAGGAAATGGTCTATGAAGTTGTGGACTCCATTGAAGACGATTCAGTTCAAGAGCCCTCAACCACAGGGAGTTGTAGTAGGAGACAAACACCCAGAGGAAACAGAAAAGATGAGAAGACATCACCTCCTGTAGAAGAACCTAAGAAATCTGACGACGAAGAAGAGGAAGTGTTCACAGTTTTAGACTCTGTGGAAGAGGAAAGTCCCAGTGAAAAACCAGTGGTGACGAGATCGACTAGAAGAAGAGAAAACACAGCAAAGAAAGCTGAAGAAAATACTAAGACGAAGGAAGACAAGACCCCCACAAGAAGAAGATGCACACCAGTCAGAGATTCTAAGGAAAAACAGAAAACTCCAAAAAAAGATGTTCCTCTAAACGAAAGTGCACCAACAAAGACGAGTGACCCTGGGGAGGCGGACGCTACTCATCAGGAACTGGACCATGTTGAGTATGACCAACCAACTACACAGAAACCAAGAAGAGGAAGACCAAAGAAAGACAGCAAAACTAGTAAAAAACAAACTGAGGAAGAAAAAGAAGAGCCTGTTTATCAGATTGTAGATTCTCCAGAAGAAGATCAAGAAAAAAACATGACGGTAGAATCCAGCCTGCAGAAAGAAAGTCAGACAAAAATTGAAATGGCTGCAAATGACGATACAGTTTCCTCACAGATAAAAGATCCACGGCGACCTATTGGAGAGGAGGATGATGAAGCAGGGGCCGCTAGAGAGGATCAACCTGCAGAGAAACAGAGGAGTACGTCAAAAATAGACCATAGGAAAGAAGAGAAGAGGAAAGAGTCGATGGAAGGAGCTACTGATGAGTCAGTGAATCTACCTGAGAGAGGAGGGAAAGACGCGTCGGCTGCTGCGACTTACAACAGAGAGATCGCAGAGGAAGAAACTCAGGAGGTTGTTGCTCCTAAAGAGGCAGACGAGGATCGACGGGAAAAGCAGGGAACTCGGGACCAATCAGTGGGCCGTCTAAAGGTGCAAACATATTAAAGTTTTGATTCAGTAAACAAAATAAAACTAAACAGCTCAGATGATCGTTTTTAACTCCGTTAATGTTTCATTTTAGAATTTGTCGACTTCAGATGACAAGAAAGAAGAAAAGGAGGAAAACGTACAAACTTCAAAGTCTTCTAAACGTAAACATGACGACAACACAGGTTTGTTTATATAGTTATTAAGCAATGATGGCTCTGCAGGCCTTTAGCCCACACTGGATGTTGGTATTCAGAAATCATCAGTGGGGATCATTGGCTTCTTTTCTCAGCTGTGACGATAATTTTTAGAATCCAAGCCAGAATTTATGACATGTTCATTAAAATTTGGATTAATGTTCGCTTGAGACAAAACTTGAACCAAACTAGTTGGAAAAAAAAAAATTGAGTAAAGTGAATTAATGGCTTCAAGGACTTTTTCAGCCACAAGGTTGTAGAACGGTTAAGTTTAACTGTGATTTGGATATTCTAGCTGTGGTGTTTATTCATTATGTCTAAAATCAGAAAACTCAAGAAATGGAAGGACTTTAGCACAGATTTATTTGCAAAGTAGTTAATTTGAATTCTTGGTGAACGAGGAAAAGTTGTAAGATGTTTTCGTTCTTCTTCAGTTGTTGATAAACAGGAGAAAGATCTGACCAAACCCGAAGTGAAGCGATCCCGTTCTCAGTCTCCAAGTGTTCCTGTGGACTTCCAGCTGCCGCCATTTAACCCCAGCAATCCTCTGGGTGACAAACTCACACATTTAGAGAAACAATAAAAGAAAGAGAGATTGAAATTCATTCGATTGAAATTCATAGTCATGTTTTTCCCCCCTGTTTGTTTCCAGGTGAGGAATTCGTGGTCCCCAAGTCTGGATTTTTCTGTAACTTGTGCTCCATTTTTTATTTGAATGAAAGCACCGCCAAGAAAATCCACTGTAGCAGCCAGAAACATTACGACAACCTGCAGGTACGCACAATCACATAAAGAAAAAAACACTTATAAAACTAATTATTGGCTCATTCTTGGTTTCCCATTTTCTGTTTTCTTCTCTCTCAGAAACATTACCAGAAGCTAAAACTGAAAACTTCATGAACGGCGACTCCAAGTGTCCACGAATCTTTCTTCCGACTGATCGATTCACAACTGCACTTAATTTTTCTATAAGAAGAGAAACCAGAGACTTTCACCCATTTCATGTGTTCATCGTTCACCATGATGCTACCAGTCAGTTGAGAACATTTTTAAAATCTTTTTTCTTTTAGATTTTTTTATGCTTTCTTTAGTTTTAGATGCAAACACTGACAGACGTATCCTAAAGTTTAAGTGGGAAATAAAAGAAACAAACGTAGTTCCTTTCCGTTCTGGGAAAGTGTGGAAAAGTCTTTGGATAATGAACATTTTTTTATCCCTTTTTTGTAAATGTGATGTCCTTCTTTCTTCTTGCCTTACTCCCTTATTTCTTTGTTTTTTGTGACCTTCCTCTCTTGTTTTTGGTTCTGCTGTTTGTTCATTTTTTTCCTTCCTTTCCCTCCCTGTGCCCTAATTTCTCTTTTCTTCCTTCCATTGTCATCTTTCTTGTTTTTCTCTTTCTTCTATGCATCCTATTTTCTGTCCTTCATTCCTTTCTCCTTCTGTGTCGTCCACATCTCCTCCTTACTGTCTTTTCTTGTTTCCTGGCTTCTGCACTAATTGGTACAGAAACTACTAGCTAGTAGTAACTAGTAGGTTGTTTGAATCTAGTGCTTGTTTGATGCCCGTACCAACTAGCTACTAGTTGGAACTATAAGCTAGTAGCTAGCAGAAGCTACTGTCTACCACTATTTAGTAGCTGATAGTTGCATCTAGCTAGTAGCTTCAAACTATAAACTATTATAGATGCTAGACGCTAATCGCTACTTGCTAGTTGTAGCTTGTAGCTTCTGCTAGCTAGTTGTGTCTGAACTCTCCTGCTTTTCCAAAATCCTTTCCTTGTTCTTTTCATCCTTTTTAAAAAATCTCCTTCATTTCTGTATATTTTCTTCACAGGTTCTGTATTTAAACTCTGTTCATTCCAGAAATGTCATCTGTAAATTTATGGAGAAGTTTATTGTTTCTTAACTTAACCTGAAAATAAAAACTTCAAAACTAAGAAAAATGTAGTTTGGAGTTTTGTGAATGATGTGTTGAATGCCTGAACAACAGTACTGAACTTAAGCAATTTTAATATTTGACAATGAATGACCAGTTTAATCGTGTTTATTTTAAGGTTACGTCTCATCCATGTTTTCACATGAATTTTTGTAATGACTCATGAAAACCTGCCTGATAAATGACACCTGTTTTGATCCTGAGATAGTTTTGTATTCTTCACTCTTTGTTCATAAGTTTCGTCTCTTGATAATTCTTTTGTTTTTATCAGTTTTTATGAAAGCACATTGTTATTGTCATATAATGACATTTAAGTGCCGGCTGATTATTAAAAACACAGTGAAAACTGCTGAACCAGCTCGTCACTAACGACTGTGGAGGAAGTCTAGTGGAAAAGTCTAATATTGGGTTTCTTAATATTACACAAAGCTCTTTAAGCTTCATTAAGCTTCTGCTGTAAAGCATAAAGATGGGATGTTTGTTCTGCAGGGATGTTTTTCTGTGGAAGTAACTTGTTGACTGTTTTGCGCAGAGCGTTGTACAACTTTAGGCAAATGCAGATTATAATTATTCAGGAAAACTTCCCATGAAAGACCTAAAAATGGCTGCCGTGAAACCCGTCCAACCTGACTGACCATATCAAACTACATGAGATTCATTCATTACAGGTTTGCCAGGAAGTCTGTTGATTCCCCTTCCGTGTTCACCAAATTTTCTCCACTTTGAATTTTTCAACAACAATCCCTTGTGGAACATTTCCTCGTGGATAGCAGCTTCCTGGATCACTATGTAAATGCTCACTGGATTTCTAAATTCGCCGGACTAGTTTGTTTCTCAATGTTCGTGTAGAGACGCTCACTCTGCCACCATGTTTCTCTTGGTGCTGTCACTGCTGGTCAGCGGTTCACAAGCTTCACATTTTCTTGGCACTATGATGACTTACTACCCAGGAGAAACTCAAACTAATGGCTCTGTATCAGTAAGTGGGCTCTGTTTGTAACTTACGGCTGCCTTTAATGCTGCTTAACGTCTTTGTAATTCACAGGTGATCCTTCGCTACAAGCAGAATTTTGTTGAGTGCTCACAGAGTGACACCTGGAACTGCAAAGGCAACTGTGGGTCTTGGACTCAGACGCTTCCATTAACCAAAGTGGAGGAAGTCAGCGGTGAATGGTGTCAGGCAGAAGGAGTCATAACTCATCAGCTTCCCAACAACACTGGATTTCAGACTAAGTGAGTCCATTTAATGACTCACCAAATGTAGTATGACCATTTAAAATGACAGTCGACTGGCTTAGTGTTGAACTTACCTGTATAACTTGCATTTTAGACTTTAAATGTCATGATATACACTGTATATCGTGGATTCACCTGTTCTAAGGGACGCAAGTCCAAATAATTTGAAGAAATACAACATAGAGCTTTTCTAAAATATTCTAAATAAAATACAACCTGGGAAGCTGAAATACCTAATGGGCAGAGGTGGTAGGAGTTTGTCAGCTATCACTTCACTGGCTTCCCACCATCAGACTGAATGTTTACATGAATGGCTGACTGAATGTAGTGTGAAGCACTTTGTGGTTCTCTAGACTTGATTAAATACAATACAAATATGGAGCTTCTATCTCTATGTGGTGGAGAACATTCTCTGCACCTGGCTCACCTTGTGGCACGGTAGCTGCACTGCTGCTTAGAGGACTGTGGGTTCCAGCCTTTCCTCCACCTCGGACCTCTACGCAGCACGATGCAGGAGGAGGCTCCTCACCATGAACGACTCCACCTGTCCTGCACAGGCTGTTCCAGCTGCTCCCCTCAGGCAGGAGGCTGAGGAGCATCCAGAGCAAAACCACCAGGCTGAGGGACAGTTTCTACTCTTCAGCCATCAGGCTGCTGAACTTTTTTTATCCATTAATTAATTTACACACATTTGTAGTACAGAGTACTCCAGGAGTGCCTGCAGGATATTATCGCAGGGTACGCACACCGTTTCACTGGACCGGACCCACGAGAGCGCAGCCACATCTCCAACGCGCATCAATTAAAAGTGAACCGGCGAAAGTAACTTTATGTCTCTGGTTTAGCAGCTCCTGGAAATACAAATACACCTTTCCTTGTTGGGCCTCACGAATGTGGAAACATACATTACATCAAATCATTTGTAAAGTTTGAGTACTTCTACGTAAACTCCCACTGCAGATTGGATGGCGGAGCGTGGATAAACAACATTTTAAACAAGATTGTATACTGGAGAGCTGTGGCTGCTGTTGAACTGAGGAACCGGTCCGACATCGGCAAACCCAACACATCACCACAGACCACCATCCTCCCTGCTTTAAGGTACTTCTGTTAGCATTAGCATCTTTGCCATGTTTTAATTAAGTCGACTTCAAATTGCAAACTTCAACGTTTTATTGAATTTAGTTAAATGCGACTCTTCATACCCTCTGACCATCGTTCAACTATGGCTGTAATCCTCCGTTATGTTCCTTCAGAGTTCCTGTAAACTGCCCAAGAACCATTAACTTGTTGGCCTTTGACCCTGACGGAGACGAGGTTAAATGCAGATATGGAAACGCAACAGATTCAGAGTGCAGCCCCTGTAACCCCCCGCTGGTCCTCAATGTCTCCTCAGTAAGTATGAAATGTTTGTGTAATTTATCATTTGTCTTGATTTCATTGATCAAGAAAGTCACAAAATATGTTTGTCAATTTCTAATTTATGCAGTCGCTGAAATGTTTTACTGCTGTCATTAAACCTGGTTTTCTCATCTAAATATTATATTTAGCATAGCTGTAGATTGTTAGGTTGTCATTAATTGTGCTAAATCTACTTCTACCATCTCTAGTTTTATTTCAGTTCTGCTTCTGCAGTCAGATTTGAATCTAGAAATAATCAGCATAAGTAATTTATAAGTGTGGATGTAAATTAAATCCAGTATTTAACTTTCTGTCATTTTGAATATTTTGGTCTCTTTTCTGTCTTTTTGCAGTCGTGTTCTCTGACATTCAGCTCCTCTGTAAGCAACACCAGTTCTGAGCTGCGTTACGCAGTCCAGCTGGTGGTAGAAGATTTTCCCAGGCAGACCATCACTCTGACTGAAACCGGCGGCTCACAGGAAGTGAAAACTACCAGCGACGCCATCAGCAAGATACCTTTACAGTTTGCCTTGAAAGGTACAACCCCACATTTAGATCATCTTCTTCTACAGCCACGAAAGGCCTTCGTTGATTTTAAAAAGGTCAATTTCTGATCTTTAATTACCTAAATTCTCTCTGTGCATTGCAGATGTTTGTCTAAATAAACACAAAAATAGCATGAATTTTCATTCTGCACCAAGATATTCAGAAAAATTGGAGTCAAACTGTTGAACCTCATAAATGCTGAGAGACTTTAGAGTCCCAGATTTGGTTTTCAAATGGTCAAAAATATGTAGTTTGATTCCAGAATCCTCTATATTGGGCCAGTCTGTGCATATTTATAACAAAATGTAACAATTATATACCCTATGTGGCAGCCATCTTGAAAATGATGGCCCTCTGGGATCTAATGAGTATCAATGGAAAATTTGGTGCCTTTATCACCATTTGAAAGATTATTTTAAAGTATTATTTTATCTGCTGCACTAATTGACTTCATGTTTCCTGCTAAAACTCCTCAGTGATTCCTGAGGTGCCGTCCTGTGCAGAAGGTTCCTATGTGGCCAGATTTCTGCCTCCCACCCCAGACAACAGAGCTCAGAAATTCATCCAAGTCAATAAGGTGCTGGAAATCAACATCAGAGCAGAAGCAACTCATTCCACGTAAGTGAGGGAACCATATCCCAGGTTTCACATTTTGACCTTTGCTGCAGAGATGCATAACTTCAGCAAATTTGAATGGCAAATTCCTGACAAACATAAACAATAAAAACACAAGATATAAACATGGGAACAGAAAATACATTTATTTGATGCTTTTTTTCAAACACATTTTAACACACATTTTGCTCGTTTTTGAGTCTCAACTGCTTCTGAAAACAGATCAAGCACTTAAAAAAACCCAATTAGCTGTTTTTTGGCAATAAGTTTGTTTTTTTTTGGTATCTGGAAAATGAGCCATTTCAAAAACCTCAGGAATGTAACATCATGAATCAGCAGGCACTACCTGTCACCTAGCAACCCAAGCGGAGCTCAAGCTTTTGTTGTAAGCTGGTTTTACTGCTGTATGTGCTGTACAATGGCTGCTGGAAAAGACAAATGTTTTATTGTTGACTCACCATCCATAAACCTCTTGCTGCATTCTTGCTGGTTGTGCAGAAGGCTCCACTTCTGCTTTTCAAAGATGCATGATTGTATAATTGCGCAGCTGTTTGCAAGCCATTTTCACGTGCGACTGATATTTGCATGATGACTGGAGTATCTGTTTCCTGTTAAAGCGTTACTGGACTGCTGTTCAGCGGGCCTCACAGTGTATCTAAGAGTTCATCCGGATCAGGAAGCTTCACCCTGAGCTGGACACCAACCGCAGCAGAAAGTGGACAGAGCCACCCCATCTGCTTTGTTGTCGAGACGAGGTTAGTGCTGCTTTAATGTTGGATGGACGTCACACAACTTCAAAATGGACAGAAAAAATCTGAACATGTTTAAACAGCAACAGTTAAGTGATCATCAACCAGATTCATGTGAATTTAAGCTAAATTTTTAGAGGTATTTCTCAGTTAAGACAAATAAGAGACTCCATTTCAGAAACAATGAATAAATTAACATTTTAAACCTGGAAAAACTATTTAAACTAAGCGAACTGTTGCTTTGAGAAGCATCAGTCTGATGGCAGCATACTTAAAGACTGAATTGTGGATGAACAGGTTAATGATTATAAGACATTATAAGACTGAGTCCTGTAGAGTCCAGAACCTAACACCACTTTTCTTCACTGATTGATTTTATCTTTTTAACTGCATCATTTTATTGTGTTTTGAATTAAATTCTTAATTTGTTTCTGTGTGCTTTGCTTTGTGGTCTTATTTTTATGCTTTGTTTAATCTTACCAGCTTTGACTGGTGCTAAATGCTTTGGTTCAAAAATACTAATATTTAAAATAATCAGAAATAGCCACGTCTGGACAGTGTGTTTTAATGTACTCTTTTCAATAACCACATCTAGAAAATGGTCAGAAACAAATTCATGGTTCGTCTCTTTTAGGACCTCTTGAGGCAAAATCTGAACATGTGATTTAATCTTCTGTATTGGTTTATTTCCACAGTTACAACTATAATACCTACCACTCTGAACTCCGATGTGTTGCTGTCACCGTTGGAAACTGTAAGTTAATTTTGGTTTTGTTTTGAATATTTTGTTGGTTATTTCCAAATCTGATCAGCTGGAATTGTATCCATGTTGTCTAAAAAACCCACAAAAGACTCAAATGATATCAACTATAACCAACCAATCAGTCCCCATCGGCCACCAAGCTGCACTGACTTCAACCACAGCTGCACCAGCTTCATTACCACACCGACTGCAACCACCCAAAAATAACTACTGCAAAAATAACAACCATACAACCCGACACCCAGATGACACAACACCTAAAGATGCCTATTTTAGTAGATCACTGAATTTACCTGAAGATGCATTAATGCACTCAATGGAAACGGCTTCAGCTCTGCTGCAGAAGCCGACATGCACAGCCTTCCTGATGTTCACTAATGGGATTCAGCCAATCAGCAACAAGGAAGGTTGTTGCTGATTGGCTGATTTGAACGCTAGTCAATAGCGAGTCAAGTAGCATAGCAGCTAGACACCAAAGCTGCATATTTTTAAATTGCAAATTTGTGGTACAAAAGAATATGCCAATAGTTGGATTTTCTGCTAATTTAACAGGAATTTAAAGTTAGTTTACTTGATTCGCGACACAAATGGGCCCATTCTTTATTTATCACAGCGAACCTCCAGTATTCACAACATTTAGAGACCAGAACTGCGTCCGAAGAGACGAATTGAGACTTGTGACTCCTTATAACTGCCTATTTTTATAGTTTAACCATCAAATATACTTTACCATATATTAATATACACATTGGAAAAATCTTGGCGCTACAGCAGGACACTAGCATCTACAGTCTTCCTGGTCTAGCGTCCAGCGTAGAGTCAGTTTAAACGAATGGCGCTTCTGTTGAACACCAGTCAACAGAAAGTCAAGCAGCATTGCACTTTTACAAACCCAAGTTGCATTTTATGCTCTATGAAAAAAATCCCTGACATGGCAGATTTTTTGCTCATTATTTGGAGTTTCTCTGAAAAATCTGAGTCTCTACTGTAAACCATGAAATTTCAAGCTCAAAATGTAATAATTCAAGTTGTGGAGGTCAGTTCAACATTTAAGTTAAGGATCGTCTCCACTCTCATCGTACTAACCACATTAAACCAACCCAGCCTTCCCTCTGTCAAACTCGGCTCCTCTAATCACAGCGACTCAAACTTCTGTCTCCAGATTACGTTGTGGCTCTGAGAGGACGGATCTCAACTTCATTATCACTGGAGAACGATTACGATGCTCTGGTCAAACAGGTCAGTGACTCTGTTGGTCCTGCTGCTCTCACCTGCCAACTAAAGACCAGATTTTTAGTTTGGTTTTGTTTCTAGTGTCTGAGGACAAACACTGATCATTCTCTTTATGTGGAACTGATGAAACTATTTGCATTTGTTTATTTTTCACCAGATTAAGGATGAACTGACCAGACGAGGGCTGCACACAGGCATGAACGTTCGCCTCCACAGGACGGGTTGATTTAAATTTGGGACTCACTCTTTGTACTTCTGCTCACTGATGCGTTTCCTGAAATTGGGATCTTTCGCTTTTTGCTACGTTAATAATCACAAATATGTTTTGTGATTCAACAGAAAGAAGTTGAAATCTGTCTGTTATCCGCTGGAGAAGGATCAAATCTCCTTCCTGAGCATTTAAAAATAATCTGGTGCAGACCATGAATGGATGGACGGGTTGATGAACAACTTATTTGTTTTTATAATTATTTGTGTTTTTATAACTTTCTTCTATATGAAATAAAGTGTTTTAGTGTTACTCATAGTTTCAGACGATTAATGTCATTTAATTTAAAGACTCTTCACAGATGATCTGTTTCCTAACAAACTGTCGAAACATGCCCAGAGTTTTAACAAATATGTAAAAAAATATTTTTTGTTAAAGTAAAACACTGAAACTTTAATGAGGTAAACGTCAGATGACGTGTGGCATGACCTGCATATTGAAGTGGCACCAATCTGATTTTATTTGGATGAAAACATTGGAACCGCACCGTTCAGCCTGACGTGTAAAAGTCAGATGTGGGTCGCCTGCGGTGTGAACGCAGCATGAGAAATTCAACACAAGGAGTCAGTGGACTAACACGAAAAGACCCTAGTGACAATTATAAACAACAGAGAGTTAGCAGACTGTGGCATGTTAAACCTGGAAATGGCCAGAAAGAAAACACAAACACGTGTGGATCATGACACACGGTTTGCTGGTGACTCAAACGCAGCATGGCAGGAAGAAATCCTGCAGCAGCTGAGAGCTGACGCCTCCGTTTGGGTGGCATGTTGTTCACCCAGCCCTGCACACCAACTGGAAATGCATCAAATGTTGCAACTTTGGTCTCAAATCCAACTGAGTCCACGGGACGATCGGGTGTGAAAACGCCCCAATCTGTTTGAACAGATTACAGGGGATCAAGCGACGCCGTCCTTCATGCCGCCTGCCATGTTTCTTGTGGAAACTCGAGACAACAGAGTTCAGCTCTAACATGGAAATCAGCAGCTGTGAGGGTGATTTCCATAGGAAGTCTGTCTGGTTCACACAGCCAAAATTTGCTTAATAAAAACAAATGATCATATAGAGCAAACCTTAAGGAAGCTGAGGCCTGGAGTTTGACCTTATCTGGTGGTTCATAATTCCCATCTGTAGTAATTACATTTACTTGAGTAACTTCTTTGAAAATATTTACTTTTAGGAGTATTTTTACTACGCTGTACTTTTTACTTTTACTTTAATAATTTTATTATGAAGTATTTCTGCTCTTGAGTAAAATTTCTGGATTTTCTACCCACTGAATGAAAAACAAACATGTTTTAACCAAAAATTCACCAGAAACAGACACACAGCTGCAGTTTATGTTCAAGTTTTTGAAGTTTTTTATTGAAAGAAACTGATTTTGGAAAATTGCCTGATTTTAATTTTTTGTTTCTTACATGAATAATTGTTTTTTTGGTCCTTAAAATGAAAAAAAAAAAATACACATTTAAAATTAATTTAATGGAAGCAAACAAACGACAGTTAATTGATGGAGGAATTTGCAGGTTTTCAGAGAATGAGGCTTCATCGTGACATCGTGTGTTAAAACTTACATGAGTGTCAACACTTCACAGAGTTGTGTAAATAAATGACGGCAACCAAACTAAATTTGCATGAAACATTTGACTCCTCTGACATGCAGGCCTGGTGTAAAAGCAGTGATGATGCTTTCACACCCAGCTGCTGGTTGACGGGTGAAATCTGTCATTTCAATCAGCAAATCTTTCCTCTCTCTCTGTTATCTGCAAGTTTTATGTGAGAGTTTTGCATGAAATCAAAAAAGCTACCAAACTCAATCAGTCTTAATGAAAACGGTGAATGAAAGATACAATTAGAGGTTTATTTTTAAAAAATGGTCCGATTGGATAAATTGTTCCTTTATTTTCAATGTGCTCAGCTGTTTATATAAAATTTGATCACATTGTTATTTAAGCTTCTAGAATAATAAAAGCTGCTGAGTCGGACATAATTTTGTTGAAGTTTCATTTTTAACTCACTTTTCCTTCATGTTGCAGGTTTTGTCTCTTCAAACAATGTACAACATTTGCATTGTTTGTTTGCATTTATTTGGTTAGTAAAATATTCAAAGTGTGTTTTAACGTATAACCTGGTCAATTAAATGTATTTATCATATTTTATGTTTTAGTTTAATCTGTTTCTATACATAAATGTAACATTTTCTGAAACATGATCACTAAATGTGTAATATTATTATTCTAATTATTAAAAACCAACACAAAGTGTCGGTTTTTCTATTTATCCCAAATATAATAATGTTACTAAATTGTTATTCAGACATGAATTTGTGTTTGTTGCTGGATTGAAAATCCCTGTTTTATTATGTATCGTGTTTTTAAACAAAGGCAAATTTCCACATGTTTGTGAACAATAGATTATTATTGTTATGATTATTAACGTTTGTAATTTTAAAGTTGTAAAATTTCTCCGATAGAAAAATCACAAAAACCCCAAATATATAACAGGCTTAAAAATAAGACCTGCTCGTCCCCTCACCCCATTTAAATTCCTGTTAAATGTGAATATTTGGCCCACATTCATGTTAAAACTCCACCATCAGAGCGTCGAACGTCCAGGATGTCAGTGGAACCTGAGGGGAGGAGGAAGAGAGGAGAGGCTGTGGGAGTTTAAACCCTCCTGATCTCCAGCAGCTCAGTTCTCCTGCAGTCAGGTTGCTGCAACATGTTGCTCTCTGTGCTGCTGCTGCTGCTGCTCAGCGACGCTCAATCCTCTCATTTTCGTGGCACTATGATGACTTACTATCCAACAGACACTAACTCAGATGGATCCATCTCTGTAAGTAGATTTTTATTTTATACATTCCTCTATTTTTAAGTGTTTTAAAAACTGATTTCACGTCTTAAAATCCAACAGGTGATCCTTCGCTTTAAGTTTAACCACCAAGCCTGCGCTGATGGTACTTATTCTTGTTCTGGAAACTGTGGTAGTGAAAGTACGATTCTTGTAAATACCAAGATTGATGAAGTCTCTGGTTCTTGGTGTCAGAGTGAAAAAATCACAACTCGGCGTCTTCCCAACAACTCTCCACTGCAGCTTGTGTGAGTCCACATTTAAAATGTTTAAATCAAAGTTCAGCTGTTTAAATCAGGGGTGTCCAAAGTGAGGCTCCGGGGCCATTTGTGGCCAGTAAACTGATTTTGTGCGGCCCCCAAATGCAATTAAAAAATTATGCAAATTTGGCCAGATAGAGATTTTTAATTTATAATCAGGGTAAAGTGGTTACCAACATGATTTTCTTACAAAGTACAACACAAAGTATTCATCTCTTTATAACCAAGTTAAACAAAAGGTAAAACTGAATTTATACAGAAACTTTGACTGAAAATGTGACTTTACTGCACCCAAATCAGCTTTTTCTCTTTCTTACACTTGGCTAATTATGGCAAGTATTTTGAAACAAAATGACCCAGATCCTGTTCTTATTACTGAGAATAAATGTATTCAGTCAAAGCCAAAAGAAACAGAAAACTAAATGTATTTCTTTTAATACAGAAAATGTGCAAAATTAAAGTAGTAAACCTAATGCAAAAAACTCAATCTTAAAATTTTCTAAAAAAAAAAAAATTAAATAACAAAAACCAACATTTGCTAAGAAAACAAACAGATTTTTTGATTAATATCAGACATTTTTGTTTTCAAAATACTTGGTCATTTCTGAATTTCAAATGAAAAATGTTCTTTTGAAAAATTTTCACAAAATAATGAGTTTTTGGTGGAAATGCACTAATTTTATTCAGTCTGCAGCAGCTCTAGTAAACTGTCATAAAAATTGCTGTCAAGTTTTGGATCTACAATAAATATCAAAGTCCTTTAATTTCTTGATTTTCGGTGCCTACAATTTTGGCCCACTTGGTAAAAGTTTGGACCTCCTGGTTTAAATCATCAATATGAGGAGAGATTAGAAACTCAGAAGCTTTATTAGCTCAACTAAATACCAAATCTATAAAGAGAATTCAATGATTTATTGACCCAGAACTACAGTTGAACAAACGTTCTTGTTAAAACCAATAATGAACGTTGATTACAGGTTTTCCAGCAGTGAATGGTTTACTAATTTAAATGGGATTGTAGCCTGGAGAGCAGTGACCGACGTTGAGCTGAGGCAGCGATCCGACACCAAAAAACCAAACTCATCACCACAAACCACCGTGGTTCCCGCACTGAGGTAATTCTGCTGGTTTCTAAATCAATTCTTCTAATTAGTCGAAGCTGTGTAATTACTTATCATAAGTTGAAATCTAAATGCTACTCATTTCAATAAATGAACATAATGAATTCAGTCATAATTCTTTTACTTGTGTTAATTTGTCAGAGGAAGGGGTGACGTGACAAAAATGTTACAAAAAGAAAAGTTAATATTTTCTTACAAAACACAAATTATTTAAGTTTTAAACCATTTTAGTTTTTTTAGGAGGACTTAATGGATTTAACTTAAATAAACAGATTTGAGTTAAATCCATTAAAAATATGTCTAGAATTAAAACATAATTGTGAAATAAGTGTGTTAAGGTTTTAGGGATTCGAACCCAGAACCTTCTTACGCCAACGCAAAAGAGCTACAATTTAAACAGATTAAATCAGATTAAAGTTAATTTAATATGTTTTTTCGTTTTTGTGGCTGTTTACAATTCAATCTGCAATAGGAGTGGTTGGATTGATCCAAATATTGATAATATTGATACCAAGTTGGTAAACGTATTGAATCGATGCTAAGAGGAAATCTGAAACTAACTTTATTTTTGTGTTGTAGTTTCTCGACTCTACCTCAAAAAGATATTTTGATTTCCAATGATAACGTTTTACACTAATTTTATTTAAGAATTTTTTTTCTGTTTATTGTTTACAGTGGGTTCTGTTTGATCACACAATTTAAAAATGAACGCACTGCATCAGATCTTCATATACGTCTTTGATATGAAGCAAATAAAAGCAGACATGTTTACATTAATTAATATCTTTTTGTTTTTGCTCCATTAGGGTTCCATCAAACTGTGCAGTAAACATCCCCCTGTTGGCCTTTGACCCCGATGGAGACCAGGTTCAGTGCAGATATGCTAACCTTTCTTTAACAGAATGTGCGTCGCCCTGCACACCTCCGCCTGTCCTCAGCCTCACTTCTGTAAGTAACGAGCTAATTTCATGTTAGAAAAACCCATTTTCCTAACAATGGATTTCCTGTTTGGTTATATTGTCTTGAGGGCAGACTTCCCAGTTAGCGCTCATATCTTAAACATCTCCTCTATCCCTTCTTCAGATTGATTTTAAAATTGTGCAAATGGGAATTATGGAAATAAATAAGTTGAATTGAAACACTTTTTTCCAAGTACACCTCGCTGCAGCAAACAGAAAGAGAGGGGAACGGACCACCGTCAGTCTCATACCTCATTTGGAAATGGGGGCATTACACTCCGGAAATGAAGGGGGCGCTATTTCCTATATTACCGCGGTCTCTCGTTTTTATTTTCTTTTGAGATCTGGGATATATCTTCATCTTTAGTAAGGAGCTCCTCTCTCAGCCTGCATTTGAACTTTTCTCTTTTATTTACTTCAGCGCAGCTCACAGTTCTTAAATTCTGCAGTTTTCTGCGTACTTCTAAATCTGCTCCTTAGTTGCGTCTTTTGGGTCTGCTACTGCCTCTACTGGCGTGGGGGTGGTAACACAACTCACAAATACTGAATCAGAATACCACAAAGTTTTTATTATTTACGATTAATTCCGGCATTACTGGCACTGAAAAGATTCTCTAAACTTTTAAATTTTCTTAAGGATGTAGTGCTAATTAAAGGACATAAACCTGAAAGTGGTTTCAGTTTCACTCAATTTCTAACCTGTTGAAACTGTGGCAAATTTTAAAATTAGGTACTTCACCACGGCTGTAGCAGGGAATGAAATTAACCTGAGGATAACTCTTATAATATACGGTAAATTCCAAAAATAGAAGATAACAATTTAGTTGCTAAATTGTAGATATCAGTGGGATACAATGCTTATGTTAACAGCTAACTGAATAAAAATAAAAGACAAAAATGTCTAATCAGAAATCAGTTTGAGTCATTTGAATGCATCATCCAAGTTACTAATCTGACACCTTGTTTTAATGTTGTGGTTTCTCTGTTTTTTGCAGACCTGCATCCTGTCATTCAAGGGAACGTCCAGCAGTAATGAAGGCTGGTACGCCGTCCAGATGGTGATGGAGGATTTTCCCCGACAATCCATCTCCCTGACTCAGTATAACGGGTCACAGGTCGTAAAAACTACCAGCGATGCCATCAGCAAGATACCGATCCAGTTCCCCTTTCAAGGTACAGTCATCTTTTCACCTGGTTACCATAGTAACAGCAATGATGAGCAAAATGGACATTAGATTGGTTTATGTTAGGTGTTAATTATGTCCTAAAGCTAAAGAAAACCCAACAGTAGGGTTTTTAAAAATCAAAAATAATAAATAAGACCAGTTAAGAAAATGTAATTTTATTGCCAGAGTGTGTCCATAAAGTGAGCAGTGTCTGGACTCAGTACTCAGTTTGGACTGGTTTTGCATGAATTACTGACTTTATTATGGCCTCTAAAGTTGTCCTGCAGGTAATAACCACACCCTCTATTACTCCGGTATCAAACTGAAGGCCTGGGGGCCAAATCTGGCCCGCTGTAGCTTTTTATGTGGCCCTGTAGACTGGAAATTACACCAATAAGTCACAAATCAGCAAAATTCACAAAAAATCAACAAATCCGCACATTTTTTTCCTGACCTTTACTGCAATTATTTTTCTCTAAATTGTTCGTCGTTTCCTGTTGTTGATCACATGACTTGTGTGATTTGATTTGATTTCCATTGCAGTTTTTTCTTTTAAAAGTCAAAAATGTGAGCTTTTCTGTAATTGCCGTGCTTTCGTTAAATGAATTTATTTCTGTAATTCCAATTTGCTCAGTTTTGGTTTTTGCTTCTAAACAGAATAGCATTTACATTTTCAGTTCACGATGCCTGACGTTGTTTCGCTCCTGATGTTTTCCAGTGGATCCTGCAGTATCTTCCTGCACAGAAGGATTTTATCGGCCGAGATTTGTGAGTCCAACTCCAGAACACGGAGCTCAGCTTCCCATTTTTTCCAATCAGGCCGTGCAGATCAGCATACAAGCAGAGGCGACTAATTCTGCGTAAGGAAATGCAAAACACATGAAAAGTAGATTCAGTAGAAAGAAAACAAAAGGTAGTGCATGCATATGTCCCTTTATTTGAATCAGGTTGTGTTTGGTTACATTTGACTCAAGCTGGAATTGGAGCGAATCTTTTATCCCGGGGAAAAAATGTATAGAGATCACATGGAATAAATGTTAGAAAAACAATTTCTGTTCTGATAGTTTCAGTTTTCTTGAATGTAAGGACAGTCTAATGGAATTGCTTCTCTTTTTCAATAAAAAAAACATTCAAATGTTCAAGAAACAGCTGATCTATTTGTAGGTAACATTTGAAACACCTCTGTATATTTTATAATTGATAAAGGATCACTGAGCTGCTGTTCAGCGGGCCGAACAACGTGGTCAAGACTTCATCAGGATCAGGAAGTTTCACTCTGACATGGAAACCATCTGCAAGCGAGGAAGGACAGAGCCACCCCATCTGCTTTGTTGTCCAAGCAAAGTCAGTATTTTTATCACCAAAAGGTTTATAAAATGTGCAGAGGAAGTACTGGAATATACTGAGAGAAATAAAGAACTGCTGTGTTCCCTGCTGGTCAGGATGGATAAAAATGTGATTTACTGCAGAAGCGAATTTCACACTGCAAACTTTTGAAGAGACTTTTGAAGAGGATCTTTCCTCAATGTCAAGTTTAGTTTATTTGTATATTATTTCTATGACTGGCTGTTTTTAAAGTTACACAGTAAAAAATTAACAGCAATATTGTCGTATATTTGGTCTGTTAAACAGAAAAAAAGTGGGTTTTCATCAAATTCAAACAAAAATGTAAAATTCACAAGCTAAATATTTAGTTTACAAAATATGCATTTAGCTTTCAAACTAAATATTTAGCTAGAAAGGTAAATATTTAGTTTGCAAACTTGATTTTTATACCTCTGGAAATCGGCACCAGCACCCTTTGCCACCCCTCTAGGGATAAGCATGTAGGTGATGTCATATGGATGGAAGGATGGACTTATGGTTTAGTTCTCAAACTAAATGTTTGGTTCAAAACTAAATATTTGAAAAAAGTTAATGTTTAAAAATCTACCTCCACAGTGTCGACGCTTCTGTTTTTCAGTCTGCGCTTCGATGTGTCGTTGTGAATGTTATAAGTAAGTCTAATTTTCTGCTTGTTTTTCTCATTTTCCTCTTGTTTGCATTTATTTATTCATTGTTTTGTGACCTGATCGTGTTTCTGCTGTTTTATTCACAGAACCACCGATTTATATCCGTGTTCTGAGGATGAAGATCTCAACCACGCTCTCACTAAAGGACAATAAAAATGCCATCCAAGATTCAGTCAGTATCTATGTTGAGAATAATGTCAAAAAGTAGCAGGTTAATTAAACCTGTTTAGATTTTTATTTATTTATTTTAAATCTGCTGCGCTGGTTTTGTACTCGCATCCAGTGGATTAACCCAGATTCTTAACATGTTTTATTTTTGGTCCAGTTATGATTGCATCCTAACTAAAACCTGCATTTGCTTTTCCAGATTAGAGAAGAACTGATAACGAACCGCGGCTTTCCGCCATTCATAGCTGTGCGCCTGCTGAGCGACGGGTTAGGTGGTGACAGCACAGTGGCGCCCCCTAGTGGCCAGCTTTGAGAATGAGCCATTTTGTGGAAAGGCGCTGGACACGGAGCCACTTTATCTGGACACAACACAACCTGTTGACATTACAACCTAACTTCAGCGGCTTCAAACAATATATTTACAATTAGTATATTTTAACTGTAATCTATTAGAATCGTTCATCTTTTCATCGATCTGCTATTGATGTTTTCCCTCAGATGTTCTCACACTTTTAAATAATTTCTTAATGTCAGGTCCTTGGATCTCTGTAAAGAAATATTTTATGTCGTTTATTGTATTTAAAGGTAGAAAGTGCTTATTATTTTTTAAAACCTGCAAGAAATATAGTTAGTTTTTTCCCTGAACTTGTTTTTAGAAATGTTTACATGTGTTTTCATTTTGTACAAAATAGTATGAGAACCATGCTAATAAAAAAATAAAGCAAAATTATGACATAAAATTACGAGGATAAAAAACAAACGTATGACAAAGTCATAGTGTTGCGAGAATAAAATGGTAATATTATGAATAATTTCTTCTTGATTTTATTTATTATTTTCTTAGCCGCAGATGTGACATTTATTGAATTTAAATTGTTTTTTTGTCTAATTTAGAATAAATATAAGGCATGACAAAAACATGGTTGCCTTCAGTGCTTAATTCTCTTCACCAAGAACACACTTAACTTGACTTCATTTGCCATTTGATTTAATAATTTTTACTGAACTTCTCTGCAGTTTTTGTAAAATTATTTCAACCTTTGACTCTTTGTGATTTAATTACAGAACCACTAAACCGACAGAGTTTTTATCTACTCTCTGTACAGCATCAACAATTTAGATTTTACTTCTTTATTTGTTTGTTTTTCTTTTTAACAAGAAAAAAAAAATAAGAAAATGGTAAAATAATATTGTTGTCGTCTGTTATGCACTTACACAGGTTTGCCAGCAGGTGGCAGTAAACCTAAAAATGTCTTATGTGGCTCCTGACAGTTACGACTTGGGACAAAACGTCATCATTCACCACTTTGACCTTCCAGAGACATTTCAGTGGAGCAAAAAATACTTTTTAAATGTTTATATTAATACTGCAAATACATGAAAATGTTTATTTATCCTGTTTTGTTTTCCCTAAAGTTTATGATATTTTCACAAACACTAAAAGCTAAAGAGACACAGAGGCAGGAAGCAACTAATTACTTTTGCACAGTTATCTTCATTTGAGTAACTTGGACAAAATGTACTTTTAGGAGTATTTTTTACTACACTGTACTATTTATTTTTACCAGGGTAACATTACTATGAAGCACCACTGACTTGAGAAATAATTTTCTCTACTTGTTTCCATAACCACAAGTAGAACAAAAATAATAAAGATTCATATGATCAAAGGTGCAGTTTTTAACCTTCATACATATTTTTTCTTTTGCTTATTTGTTGAAAATGTCACCATGTCGTTAAAGTATAATATGAGACAAATAACCTGTGAAAAACATCAAGCTCCTCCGTTTCCTCCTGTTGCCAACGAGAGACAACCAATCAGAGCAAGGAGGCGGGTCTTGATGCTGTCAATCAAGCTTGTGTGCATGCCGCTCCACCTCTTCCCTCCATTGCTCTCTGCTTCTTCCTGATAACAGCTAGTCAGCTAGTAATGCTAAGGCTACTTAGCATGGCTAGTAATGGCAGTGAATAAACAGTTTGCTGTTCCTAACAACGATGCAAATCAACATCAGAGCAGAGGAAAACTTTGAATAGGACAAAAATAAATGCATCTGGGTTTCACAGGAAACCATAAAACCTCATCTGTGTTAAAACTCAACGCACATATTTGCATGAATCCTGATAACTCAAATGTAAATGTAGAACAAATATATTTAACTTTAAAGTTATTAAAATGTCAGAACTCAGGAGCTGTTGGAGGAAAACAGAGTTATCTGATAATCATTTACCTGCGTTCAGGCAACTAACTCGATTAATTTCAGTGTTTGAAAAAATACAAAAACAAACTGATGAATTTATAGGTTTATTTAAAAATTTATTTTCGTTTACCTTTCAGTTTCATGTAAAAATGTATCACATGGTTATTTAAAACTGTAGATTAGATACAAACGAGTAATTTAAAGCTGGATAAACATGGAAAATAACCAGACTCAGCAATACAAAAACCTCTTCTTTCATATCATGTCGTAAATATTAAAATATGGTTTATATTTACAACATTGCGGCTCCACCTGCATGGCCAGGATTTTTTTTTTCCTGCTTGATGTTACAGTTAGAGTTATAAAAAAACCCCAGACCAAAACAAAACAAAAAACAAACTAAACAGCTGCTGGAATAAATGATGAAGTTTAAACAGTGAGTTAAATGATCTGGACCCAAGCGGAGAGCATGAAGATTAAATGGAGCCGTTAGAATAAAGAATCATTGATGTTTTAAAAGAGGAAGTTCAGAGTTAAATGGAAATTTGCAAACTAACTTCAGTTTAACTTCCTGCATTTCCTGATTTCTCAGAATGGCAACAGTCTTTATCTCTGTTTTTCCTTGCATGTTAATCATGTGAAATGTGAATATTTGGCCCACATTCATGTTAAAACTCCACCATCAGAGTGTCGAACGTCCAGGATGTCAGTGGAAACTGAGGGGAGGAGGATGAGAGGAGAGGCTGTGGGAGTTTAAACCCTCCTGATCTCCAGCAGCTCAGTTCTCCTGCAGTCAGGTTGCTGCAACATGTTGCTCTCTGTGCTGCTGCTGCTGCTGCTCAGCGACGCTCAATCCTCTCATTATCGTGGCACTATGATGACTTACTATCCAACAGAAACCAATTCAGACGGATCCATCTCTGTAAGTGGATTATTTATACATTCCTCTATTTTTAAGTGTTTTAAAACTTGATCTCACTTCTTAACCAACAGGTGATCCTTCGCTTTAAGTTTAACTTCGATTCTTGCCAAGATGGTACATTTGGCTGCCCACTTGGAAACTGTGGTAGTGAAAGTACGATTCTTTCAAATACCAAGATTGATGAAGTCTCTGGTTCTTGGTGTCAGAGTGAAAAAATCACAACTCGGCGGCTTCCCAACAACTCTCCATTTCAGCTTGTGTGAGTCCACGTTTAAATGTTTAATCCAATATTTCATATTCGCTGTAAACATAATATTTGTTTAAATCTTCGGTATGAGGAGAGATTAGAAAGTCAGGAGCTTTATTTGCTCAACAAAACCAAACATTTTTTGTAAATTATGACATTACAAACTTACTTTATCGCATGTTTCACCATTGACTGGATAATTCAGTTATTTATTGAGACAAATCTGAAGTTATAAGAGAAGTTTTTGTCTCCATCTGAAAACCTTTTCTGATCGTCCAATCCAGGTTTACTGGTGGAGATTGGTTATCTAATTGTCATAGCATTGGATCCTGGAGAGCAGTGACTGGTATTGACCTGAGGAACCGGTCCGACACCAACAGACCCAACTCATCACCACAAACCACCATCTTTCCAGCTCTGAGGTGATTCTGCTGCCATCTGGATCACAAGTTATGAATTTCATGAAAAGATGATGATAAATTTGGGTATAATTAGTGAAATTCATATTCAGATGAGTTTATCTGTCGACAGCAGGTTTTAATTCGAATAGCGTTTTTAAAGTTGCTTTAATTTTAAGTTTTCTTTTGATCTTGCAAGACTTGTGGCATTAACTGTGAAACAATTGTGAGCTGAAGTTTCAGTAAAGAGCTTTTAATTAGATGTTTTAATTAATCCGTCAAATTTAAATTCAAAAAACTTTATTGATCCCAGAGGGAAACTAAATATTGCTGTAACTCATATGATCAATTCTTACAGCTGGACAGCAGTTCAACAATCTAAACGTTTACTTACTAAATCATTTTTAGTCTTGCAATTAATAAATATATGAGTAAAGGAGGAAAAATGCATCAAGATATAGGAGCCTGTGAGGAATTTTAAGAAGTATAAATTATAAGGTTAATCAGGCAAAAAGAGCAAAACATGAGTGATCAGTGAACACAGCCATGTTCCACAGTGATGGATGCATCTTTTCCCCTCAGAGTTCCTTCAAACTGTCAGAGAAATATCAGCCTGTTGGCCTTTGACCCCGATGGAGACGAGGTTAAATGCAGATATGCCAGTTCCTCGTCAGAGTGTGCGTCCTGCACACCTCCGTCTGTCCTCAGCCTCTCACCTGTGAGTAACAAGCAGATTTATTCATAAACACATTCAGTTCAAAATGATCAAAACTTAACAGAAAATTACATTACAGTGGCAGAAAACGTGGATCAATGAAAAAGTTTTGTTTAAATAAAGTCTCATAGTTATGTGATAAGTTTACTTCCCCCTATATGTGAGGATGCACTTCCTTTTCCAAAAACCCTCCATGATGTGATTTCTTTCTACCACAGATTACTGATCGTAGCGTCACAGAACCTCTTCAAAACTCCAAACTAAACCTTGAACTACATGTGTCTTCAGCTTTTCCATCTTTAGTTCCTCTGCACCAAAGCTTAGAATACTATGATTTATTTAAATACATTGTGCTAATCTGGCAGCTTCTGTCTGTGTTTTTGCAGACCTGCATCCTGTCATTCAGATCAACTTCCAGCTGTAGTTCAAACTGGTACGCCGTCCAGATGGTGATGGAGGATTTCCCCCAAAAGTCCATCACTCTGACTCAGTATAACGGGTCAAAGGTCATGAAAACTACCAACGATCCAATCAGCATGATACCTGTCCAGTTTGCTTTTCTAGGTACGATCACCTGGTTACCATAGTAACAACAACAAGGAGCAAAATTACAGGGATTAATTTCAGGTGTTTAGTTGTATTGATTGTGTTCAGCAGCTCAGCTGGAAATCTCACAAATTAAGGTTTAAAATAAACAGTAAATGTTGGATTAACTGTCTGTCTGTCCGTTTATCCATCCATCCTGCATTAAAATGACTTTTTCTTTGGTCTTATTTTATTTCCTATCATCTTTAAATATCACAGTAAAAGACAAACAGTTTAAATACATTGTGTAATGAATTTAGTTAAAACAGGAGTTTCACTTGTTGGATTACTGGAATAAATCATTGTAATAATGTGCTGTGATGTAATGTGATGTAATACTTTATCACATTAAGATTCATCTTCTAAACTCGTTTCTGCAGGATAATTTATACCGTAAACATGATTTACACACAAACTGATCTGCATTAGCAGAACTGATGCTGTTTCTCTCTTGCTGTCTTCCAGTGGATTCTGCTGCTTCATCCTGCACAGACGGCGTTTATCTGCCCAAATTTGTGTTTCCAACTCCAGAACATGGAGCTCGGTTCTACAGCCCCGTCAGTCAGACTCTGGAGATCAAAATCAGAGCAGAAGCAAAGAAGTCTCAGTAAGGAAACGCAAAACACATGAACAATACAGTGGCAACAAAACCAAATATGATAAATAGGGCAGATGCTTTATTTAAATCAGGTTGTGTTTGGTAACATTTGGCTTAAAGCTGCAGTTTGTTACTTTTATTTTACACAAAATATGGTAATTTTTTTTTACGTATTTGTAATGAGACAATCTGTGAAAACATCGATCTCCTCAACCTCCTCCTTGAGCTACTGTTACTGTCTGAAGAAATGCACCGCTAACGACCAATCAGTGCCAGGAGGAGGGGCGTAGCGCTGTCAATCACCTCATGTACTCGCTGCTAAATGTGCAGGACACAACCATGCACACACACACCTAGGGACAATTTAGAGAGACCGGCCCGAGTACCCAGAGAGAACCCAAACAAGCTCAGGGAGAGAGGCCCCAGGGTGGGAATCAAACCCAGAACCTTCTTGCTGCAAGGCAGCAGTGCTACCAACTGCAGCCCAGGAAATTGTCTTGTTATAAGTAAATTTATCTGCCAATAGAACCTGCACCTTTTCATCAATATTAAGGAATTATTTACTTAAAAAAGCTCCTGTATCTTGATGGTAAGTTAATTTAAAGTGTAATAAGATAAATGAGTAGGCTAAAAACACTTGGTAAGATTTTGTGTTTTTGCAGTGCAAACATCACATAGTAAACCTGTTATTATAATCAATAAAGGATCAATGGAGTCCTGTACAGCGGGCCGTACAACGTGGTCAAGAGTTCATCAGGATCGGGGAACTTCAGCCTGAAGTGGACGCCGTCTGCCAGTGAAGATGGACAGAGCCACCCCATCTGTTTCACTGTCCAAGCAAGGTCAGTATTTACACAGTCATAGTGATGATAATATGAACGTTTGTGAAAAACGTCTGAACAGTCCAACACTATCAGATTTTATAAGAACAGAAAAATTAAACAGACATTTTGACCAATATTTTTCTCTGAGTTTACAAAACAGTGTAAACTGAAAATGTTTTCAGTGATATGCAGCTCTGGAAAAATTAAGAGACTGATTAAATGCTCAGTTCTCAGATCTTACTTTTTACACGTTTATGTTTGAGTAAAATGAAGATTGTTCTTTTATTCTGTAAACTACTGACATGTTTCTGAAATACCAAGCAAAAATGTAGCTTTTATTTGCAGAAAATGAGAAATGGGGAAAATACCGAAAAAGATGCAGCACTTTCAGACCTAAAATAAAGAAAATAAGTTCATATTCATTTAGAAACGACAACACTAATGTTTTAACTCAGGAAGAGTTCAGAAATCAGTATTTGGTGGAAAAACCAGGAGGTTTTCAGTGGAGTTCAGGGCAGTGGGCTCTGAATTTTTCTAGAGCTGAATATGAGATTATAGCTCATTAATTATTAAGGCTCCAGACGCAGTAATGATGTTATAACGCAAAGTAAGCAAAATGTCAGGGGTTTTTCTTGATGTTTTCCATTTTTCTGACAAATTCATGGTAATGATTTAACCTTAATGAAGGTCCTCCATTAAGGTTAAACTTGTTACACTTGTATCTTTATTGTACCATAAAGTCTAGAATATGTAGAGGTCAGAGGTCATGGCATTAGCCACCGTTAGATAAAGACAAACTGGGAGTCATTCACTCATTTTCAGTCTACCAGTAAAAAATAAAAAAGATGCATATATACTTTTGATTATATTTGTATTCTTGTACACAGTGACCACTGGGTGGCGCTGTCCTTCTTCACAGCAGGAACAAACGATTTAATTTACATAGAAGATGAAAGTTTTTCCTGTTAAAACATTTTTTTTATCATGGTCCAAAATACTCTGGGAGTATTTTGATTATAATAAATTATAATAAATAATTATAATAAATCATTTTGAACATTATTTGATATTTAACCAGAAGTTGATAAAATACCCCAAAATTTTACTCAAGTAAGAGTAAAAAAGTATTTGGTAAAAATTCTACTCAGTTACTGAATATCTAATCAAATTATCAATCATTTGATAATTACATCATCGTACAGACCAAAATATTAGATGGATATTTTGGTATTTTAAAGACCAAAATGACAATAATTCAAATAAGTAACAAAATCAGGCAAAAGAAAAATGTTTACAAATCAGTTTCTTTCAATAATAATCTCATGAAACTTTAATAAAAACTGCAGGTGAGTATCTGGCGAATTTTGTTTAAAGTTCAACAGAGATACTTCAAAGTAAAAAGCACAGCGTGGTAAAAATGCTTAAGTGAGTAAATGTAGCCAGTTACTGCCCAGCTTTGTATTAAATATTAATTTTCCTGCACTGAATTATCTCCATAGTGTCTCCAGTTCTGTCTACCAGTCTGAGCTTCGGTGTGTCGTTGTGACGGTTGGAAACGGTGAGTCAGGTCACTGATTTATTCTTAGTTTTTAAAATTTTATTTCATGAACTCACGATGTTTCTGCTGTTTTCTCATCACCAGATCCAAGTCCTCCTCCCAAAACATGTAAGTAGGATGGAAACAGAACAGGAAGTAGTTCTTTCTACCATGCTGATCTCTTGTTCTTCCAGCTCGTCTTACGGTTCTGAAGCTGAAGATCTCGACTACGCTGCCACTGAAAGACAAGGATGAAATCGAGAAGGCGGTCAGTGATGTCCTGGACTTTAACACAAACCATCACAACCTGAATTTAATCCAAACTAATTTATCCCAAATGTCATTTCACCTAAATTAACTGTTAAAGTAAGAAACTATCAACTTCCACCCAATTCTTCTTCCTACAAACATAAATCAGCTTAAAAACTGTTAAAAAATGAAATATGGTGTATAGGATGGACCTATTTTAATGTTAAAAATATGTAAATTATTGTACATTTAAGGATGAGAATGTGAGATTTAAATATCAATCAATGTGGGAATAATTTAAGAGTTTATCTCTCATGGGGAAATTTAAATGTTTGTAGGTTGATGAATATCAGACGGACAGGAAGTCATGAGATCTTGTACCTGCTCCTTTTAAAACCAATTATATAAAATTGCATGTCAATCAGCATAATTTGTTTTACTTTTATTTTTCCCCTGTTTTTACTTTTTGTCTGTTTAAAATAAATAAATAAATAAATAAATAAATAAATAAAGCAGGGGTGTCCAAAGTGTGGTGCGGGGGCCAGTTTTGGTCCTTGATTGCAATACAAACTTGTTTTTCAGCTCCAGTTTGGAGGTTGATGCAGTTAAAAAAAATTTAATTGCTTTTCAAAGAAGACAGAAAATAAAGTCTCTTAAATATGGAAAAAATAATTTAATTAGATTTCATAGTAAACAGAACCACAAACATTCAGTGGCTTTTACTCGAGAACTAATTTCTTTTAGTAAACTCCACTAAATAAAACAAAACTTTGTGAAGAATGAGCGAATCAGATCTTGTTGATGAGAAAAACACAAAGTAATTCAAAAATAATAGAAAAACTATCAATATTTAATAATTTGTAGAGTTTTTTAAAATAAGGCAAACTTGCTAGATTTTGTTTCACATCTACAATAACTTAAAGTTCCTCTTCTATATAAATCTTTATTTTATTAAAATATTGTGTAGTGAAAGTTAAATTAAACATTTGACTTGTTTTCCATTTTTAATTAGAAGATTTTAAATGACTGTATCTAACATATATGTCATGTTTTCTTCTTCAGATTAAAGGTAAGCTGGTTGCAGGAGGGCTGCCTGCAGACATAAAGGTCCGTCTGCTCAGCTTCGGTCCAGCTAATAAAACCGCTGCCCCCTAGTGGCCAAATATGAGAATGAATCTGATCCCTGCAGGAAATGTGATTTAATCTGTTTTTGCTTCTTTTTACTCTTAATTAAATCAGGGAGTTATGGCTGTTTTCAGTAGAATTAGTGATGCCTGTGTCAATAGTTATTTTTTATGAAATAGGGAAACTTTCACAAATATTTATTATAAATTGCCAATATAAAGTAAACGGCATCACCTGAACTTTTTATTAAACTGATATTTACCGAGGGATTACTACTCTGTGTTCATGTGTAGCATTTATGCGTTTGGGATTTTAATATCCAATCTGCACTGTAAAACATTTGAGCCACATTTAGTTGTCTATCTTCACTCCGTAAGTGTAATAAATTTAGCCAGTTTTAGATTTTGAATCTAAATGTGAGTTTGTGAAAGATAAACTTACAGCAGTAAGTTGTGTTAACTTTTTAATAATACTGTCAGACCTGTCATAGAGTTGAAGAAACTGAGTTTTAGGATTGTACTTAAAAAACTGAAAGAAGAAAAAGAGTGGGAACTATTTCCCAGAATGCTTCTGTATCTTGAGAGCCTGGTGCTGCAAGGTTGGAGACCTTGTCCTGTCAGGCGACGGGGCCTGGATAATACCTGGATAAAACCTGGATAATACCTGGATAAAACCTGGATAAAACCTGGATAATACCTGGATAATACTTGGATAAAACCTGGATAAAACCTGGATAATACCTGGATAATACCTGAATAAAACCAGCGTTAAACGGACGGCGGAGTCCGGCGACGACAGGCGCTTAAATTACGTAACAAAAGTATGTTTTTATCTTTTTTAATCCTTTTTTTTTTACTGTTTATTCAATGTCACATGCTGTTTTTATTTTTTCTTTAATTATGTAAAGCACCTTGAAATGCCTTGCTGCTGAAATGTGCTGTACAAATAAAATTTGATTGATTGGATTAAATTAATCTCGCTTTTGTGTTTTATTAAGACAAATGTTTATTTTTATGCTTGAGGATAAGACCCTGTTCACACTAAATGTTTCATTGTGACGTTTAGTTAAATTAATTATCGGATCATAAATTTTGTTTATGCAATTTGAAAAACAAAACTTTAAAGTATTCTAAAGTAAAATAGATATTTATTTTAACTTGATATTGTGAGTAAAATAATAAAGAAATGTGACCTTCAACCAGATGAGGGCATTTTTTTCTTGCATATTATGAAATAATTTGGTTTAAATTGCAGCATTAAGTTAAAACTCACAATTCAAGATTAATGAACTTAAAATGTTTAGAAAGCTTGTCTTTTGTTAAATCAACTTCATGAACTTTAATCTTTGAGTTAAAACCAAAACTATTTTCTTATTAATTTAAATTTCATTTTCAAGGCAGCAGGTGGATTTTCATTTTCAAGTTAAACCATCTTCAAATGTTTGACAGTGTAGTTTAGTGAATATTGAATTTCTGCAATAGAGTAAATACATTGAACATTTACCCTGCATCTAAAAACTACATTAGTGCTTCAATATCAGTCTAAGAAATAAAAAAACTCCAAAATATTAAAAGCATGATTGATGATAGCTGTGAAGTTGTCAAACAGTGGAAAACACCTTAAGCGGTTCGGCCCAGTCCACATGTTCTGATCAAAGATTTGATCTGTAAACAGGAAGTGGCATCCAGAACTGAATCTGGTTGGACCGGTTCGTTTTCCCCTTCAGGGCGTCGACTCTTTGAACTTATCTGTGTTTCACAAAACGATGAGCTCAAGACAGATTAGAGAAAATAATTAGAATATTAGGTAAAACTTTATTTGAAGGGGGTTGAATAAGACTGACATGACACTGTCATGAACATGAC